ATCACTAAACTTATAGCAGCTCTTTGCTTGTATTGCGCGTCACGAATGACGTGTAACACCCACGCGCCGCATGTAACATCCACGCGCCGCATGTAACACCCTCGCGCCGCATGTAACACCCACGCGCCGCATGTAACACCCTCGCGCCGCATGTAACACCCACGCGCCGCATGTAACACCCACGCGCCGCATGTAACACCCACGCGNCAGGTGGCGTGCAAGATCTCCCTGTACTCATGATCTCTACCGTGCAGGTGGAGTACAAGATCTCCCTGTACTCATGATCTCTACCGTGCAGGTGGCGTGCAAGATCTCCCTGTACTCATGATCTCTACCGTGCAGGTGGAGTACAAGATCTCCCTGTACTCATGATCTCTACCGTGCAGGTGGCGTGCAAGATCTCCCTGTACTCATGATCTCTACCGTGCAGGTGGAGTACAAGATCTCCCTGTACTCATGATCTCTACCGTGCAGGTGGCGTGCAAGATCTCCCTGTACTCATGATCTCTACCGTGCAGGTGGAGTACAAGATCTCCCTGTACTCATGATCTCTACCGTGCAGGTGGCGTGCAAGATCTCCCTGTACTCATGATCTCTACCGTGCAGGTGGCGTGCAAGATCTCCCTGTACTCATGATCTCTACCGTGCAGGTGGCGTGCAAGATCTCCCTGTACTCATGATCTCTACCGTGCAGGTGGCGTACAAGATCTCCCCGTACCGCGCCACGTTCAACAAGAGTCTCTGTTTCGGCGCGGATGTGGCGGACGAAGAGGCGCTCTACGCCGACGCCATGGCATACCGTGGCCACCTGCCCGCCGTCATTGCCGCCATCGATGCCATCTTTGACGACCTGCATATCGACACCTCCAGCCGCGCCCCCTGACCGCCATCCTGCACTGTAGCAACTGTAGCATTGTGTTCACACCTATCTCGTGCCTGACACTTATCTCATGTTCGCAACTTATCACATGTTCACGTATCTCATGTTCACCACGTATTTCATGTTTCCCCATGCATCTCATGTTCACCATGTATCTCATGTTCACCATGTATCTCATGTTCACCATGTATCTCATGTTCACCACGTATCTCATGTTCGTTCACCACGTATCTCATGTTCGTTCACCACGTATCTCATGTTCACCACGTATCTCATGTTCAACATGTATCTCACGCTCAAAAACTCACGTCATTCCATTTTCACTGAATGTAAGAGAAGTGTTTCTGTTCACACTGTGAACAACTATTATTAATAACAACAATTATATCAATGGTAATCAATGTTTGATCACATTTGATGCTCATTTATGTCATTCCATCTCTAACACTTGTGTGAACTAAAATGATGTTTTGTCAGCATTTCCTGCAATGAACAAATGGCACCAGGTCCTCCCAAGCCCTCACATGCATCAACGCAGACTGCAACAGTCTATTTATGTTAAGGTTTTGGGATCAAGGCGCATGCCTTGCACCGACTCAATCNGACAATCTTGGCCTTTTTATATTGACAATCTTGGCCTTTTTATATTCATCGAGACGTGAGAATCTTAAAAGATTTTAATAGTGTCCTGCTATTAATGTTTTTTCTTATTCAATAATGACTGTTTTAATATAACTCAGCTCGCTATGGTCATTTTCATATTACGTATTAGTTGAAATATACCTAGTAAGGATCGCCAAGCTCAAGCTTGTTGTTATGCAAGAAATTGACATGATGTTTGCATGTTTACAGTAAACATAAAGCTCTCTCCATATCGTGCTATTCTCTAGTCTGTGATAAGCTTTTATACTTTTACATGCATAATGAGTTGATTCCTCAGTTTTGTATTTTGCATATTCACAAATTAATAATAGTTGATAACAACTGATTAAAAATTGCCTTTACCGGTGATAACGGTGATTTTGACATCATTTTACATGCCTCGGTTTTAATGTGGCCATTTTCCCCCAGTAGCTCCTCGCGGCTACTCTGCAAATTTGTAAATGGATACATTATTTTTTTGCGTTTACTCATTATTCTTCCCACATCATGCAGTTTTATTGTATAAGTATTTACATCATTAGTCTGCTTACATCGCAACTTCTAAAATAATTTAAAAGTGATTGAGGCTGGTTTTCGAAACGTTTTCATTGACGATATAGAGAATTCGTATGGTGCTTTCTTTGCTTTAAATTCATTGTTATGTTTTACAGTGCCATATCCGAGGGTTGATGTTAACTACTGAACCTTACCTTAATACGCTTCAATCTAAATGCTGCCTTGATCGCGCTGTGACCCGTTATAGTTAATTAGCAATTAGAACATTTCGCTACCTTCGGCACCCGCTGTTCAGTAGCATTGTTATTTATGAAACCATGTCATCACCGGCTGTCTACATGTAATGTTCAGTAGGATTGGTCTATACTCTATAGGAAACTATAACTTCACTTTTTTCGGCATGTATTTTTAGTTAGAAATATTTTACTAGATGCACATCTCTTCCTCCTACTGTAACATAGTCAGTGGCCGGTAATATTTTTAATGTATCAAACATGTCACCATCTATACCACATGTTCATCAAGAGTTTGATGTACATGCACTGCACTGGTGAACCACCCTGTAGTTATGTTTTAGGAGAGCGCACCTGAAGTGCAGATTTGTGTTGCCGGTACAGATTTGTGTTGCCGGTGCAGATTTGTGTTGCCGGTGCAGATTTGTGTTGCCGGTGCAGATTTCGTGCGAGAAGCAGTCATCATGGAGAGCCGCATTCACACTCATCGCATAAATATTTGTTAGTTACAGTAAATGAACGAATGAATATGATACGTTGTAGTGCAATAGTAATTTTTGTTAGTTAAGTGAACAAGTGAGTACGATACGTTGTACTGCAATAGTAATTTTTGTTAGTTAAATGAACGAGTTAATATGAATCGTTGTACTGCAATGGTAGTTTGAGGATTCGTCTCGAATACATTCTTCAGAGATACTTATAATACCTTGGTTGTTTTATTGTTGTCTATCTATAAGAGAATGCTTGTGTTTTTTGTTGAATAATGCTGTGCACTTACGACGCGTTTAGAATTACAATAAGTTTTTTTTATTATGGCGGCCAGCTGTGTTTGAACTCGAAACAACCGAATATTTATTTTACTGTGGGTCCAGTGTGCATTGCGTCAGGTAAGTTTTATTTGTATTATTTATTTGATTATTTTACTTGATTACAGCCTGACAATTCATTATATTGATAATTGTTGATCTTCTTCGATGATCTCGGTATTTTCTTGCCGCTTGCAATTTTATTCTTTATGTGATTTTATTGCGCGCCAAATATACCATCCGGTCTGGTTTCATTTTACTCTTTCTCGCTATTTTGTATAAATAACCAGTCGTAATTATTATTGAATGTGGGCACTGATAATTTTTGCTTGTAAGGAACTTGTGACCTTTTATACTACGTTCGTTTTATCTTACTTAAATTTCCTCAATTAATTTTAACATCGTCACAACCTTTTTTTAGAACGCAATAAGATTTTACAATTATATGTGTATTTTCCCAACGCTTAGAAAACTTTTGACTATTAGGTTTGCCACCATGGAATTTGGAAAGCTTTTTAAATAAGCTGGATTACTAATGATAATTTTTAATGTTATGAGTAGTTAAGGTTTCTGCTGGTGCAATGTAAAGACTTTTTGCTCTAAGGGGCAATTTGGCTTTATGCGAGCGCTAAGTTTATCGTCTATTTGTTTAGTGGCTGATTTCTATTTGAAATTGATCTCTATGGGTTTAGTCTAGCCAATTACCGATTGTTTCTTGTGTACACAATGATCACTTTTATAATTAATACATTATTCAATGTGATTATTCTGCGCAATTCTTGGATGCATGTGGATTGTGGTCTTGTCAATGAAATTTTTCAGCTGACACGATGTCCTCATTTGTACTTGTTTTAATGTTTTTTAATTAGTTTAGCAGCGTCTATTGTCAGTGGAGTTTTTCTTCTATCACACTCACTGTGGGGACAGCCCACACGGGTTGGTTCTCCATTCAAACTTAGAAGCACAAATTTCGTCTAACCCTTCATCGAGTGAGGGCTCGCATCAGTAGGAATTATCTAATAGTGCTGTGATTAATAAAAGTGATGTTATGGTGTGTCACTACACTGGTTTCTCTATTATCCTCTTCATCTACTGTGGTTCCCATCTTAATTTTCTTGGTTTTTAACTAACATTTTCTCAAGCATTTCGGCCCCATCTCCCCCTCAGGGGGGACTTCTGACGGGTGTCAGCATGTGCTCGTCAGAAGTCCTATGGGATTTCGCGCTCCTAGGGGATTGTTCCTGAGCGCCCCACCACTGAGCTCGCGGTGTCTGACTGCAGGTTTATGTTGTGGGGTTAAGTAATTATGTAGGTAGGATTTTTTACATTGAGTTATTATTTAGGCAGGATTCCTTACATTTATTTTGTAGGCAGGATTCCTTACATTTCCCTTCTCTGTCTCTCTAGCGCGGGCGGCCGACGTCCCGTGTAAGCGACCTCCTGTTCGAGTGTCTTAGTTTCTGTTACTTTTCATACGTCCCTCATTGACACTTGAGACCTTCCGCCCCTTGTGAGTGATGAACGATTTTCTTGATTTAAGAAACTCTCAATAATTGAGTCCTTCCACCTTGCTGGCGATGTTCATCTTGACTTTCGGTGCGATACATCGTGACAAGATTATCGGGTTTCTAATATTCTATTGAAATACTTCTCTTACAATGCGACCTTACATGAAATCCAGCGGAGGTGTATGACCGTATGATATTTGTAAGGCGATTAACATTTCGTATTTGGAAAATTCGACGGACACTGCTCGGTTTCAAATAAATTCAAACACCTGGTCACACTGAACATTTCTAACACCTGGTCACATTAACAGTTCTAACACCTGGTCACACTGAACAGTTCTAACACCTGGTCACACTGAACAGTTCTAACACCTGGTCACACTGAACAGTTCTAACGCCTGGTCACACTTTCGACAAGAGGTTCTCAATGTCACTCCGGTGAAGTCAACTGAACTTTACGATGTGACTTAAATACATGTATTTTCGTCTCTACTATGAGAGGTAAATCAGAAGTTATTTATTTTCTTTCTAATATACATATGCTTTTTACAGAGAGTTGTGATATATGCTCATTTACTGATGTTTATTTGACTGTAATTACGTAATCTTTGTATTTTTTTTTTGGTACAGTGCATGATTGGGCATCTTAAGACTAAAATTAGAAATAACATGCTAAAAATCCTTGCATCTATATAATGGATGTTTTACAAATGGGGTGCGGTGCTACCGACGCTTATCAATTGCTATTGATTGTGAATCATCCGCCAGATTATATTGATAACTAAATTTCCCATGTTGCAGGTGGTGCAGACATTGCTTTTTAAGATAACGAAATAGTTTGTCGGTGTCAAAATGGCAAACATCTCCCAGCCTACGGAAAAGTCCATTGATTTGAAGCAAACAGATTTTTTACGAGAGGCAATAAATTGTGCTTCTAAAGAAAATGAAAAGCCCCAAGAAGTAAGCAAATTAAAGAGCTTAGTAGGAGAAGATATGAAGTCTCTGGAAATGAAAGCTTCTGATGACAAGACCGCGGAAAGTCCCACCGGGCAGCCTAATTTCTTCAACGTCGCAGAGCGCGTGCCTTTCGCGGCACCCGTAGACGGTGAGGTCGATTGCTTGCAGTTCTTCGCAGCAGGGGACGACTACACGAATTTCTTTCGTGAGTTAACCAGCACCATATTATTGATTATTTCCTTTTTCTCCGCATCGTGAGTTAACCATTGCCGTATAATTATTTATCTTCTACTGTTCCGCAAACCAATGATCTTTATTATGCTTCCTTTCACTTATGTAAGGAGTCATAAAAATGAGTTGCTATTGACCATATATGCGAGGAGTTAACAAATAGTAATATATGTATTTTTGATGAGTAAATATTTCTTAATAATTAAATGCACATTAACTTTGTTGAATAGAAATGAGTAACTATACTTTACTTATTTTCTACGCACGTTTGGCTGATACTCATTGCACGATAAGTAATTTGCCACAAACATTACAGCGAGATGTTACAATGTGAATGAAGTCAATTGGTCAAAAAGAAGTCACTTGCGCATGATTGAAAAACATCATTGGCCTCATTGAAACAAATTAATCGTCGATTTGACAGAGATGAATTATTGACATGACTAAAACATCGTTTCATGGAGCTCAGTTTAAGGTCATGTTTCAGCGCTAGTTCAACGAAGAGTTTTCAGGATGCAGACTTGAAACTTTGGTAGTGTCTGCTACAAGGACTCCAACAAATGTAGCAAATTTTGGTATTAATCTATATAAAATTAGAGGAGGTTTTAATTTGTACATATGAATGTTCTTTGCGTGTATTTTCAGTAATTTTTTTTGTATTATTTGCAGTCAACTTCAGTTTCCTGTTCAAAGTGGTCATTAACGAAGCGCGCCTTCACCTCAGTGTGAGTTATTTTTTTGCAATTCTCTCTTCTATTCGATAATTTTTCAGGTATTTTCAACAAAATCTATTACATTAACAGCATTTAGCCACATTAGAAATTTATCGAAGTGATTACGTCACTATATATCACGTGCTATGTATTAATTCCACGTTTTAATTTTCCGAGGAAATTTAACTTATTGAATTGATAATGTTCAATCTTCGCCACTCGGCAGCACATGCGCAAGGCGTATGCCAGAGACGAAGGCAAGAGCCAGACTCTGCGCTCTCTGCTGCTGAGCGCCCAGCGACGCGGCGACGCTGAGCCTGGCATTGTGCTCCTGTGGTTCAGGAGGTCAGGGTGGCACAGGGCGGTGTGCTCACTGCCTGTGTGATGAGATGTGTAATAGCCATGCTTAAAAGCCAAAAAGTTTACATTTCAAGATCCAAATGAACTGTCCTCTTATATAAGAGAGTATTTTGTGTAGCTCTTACCTGCATACCGTAACAGTTCAGTGCACATATATTGTACTTTCAGATTATATTGATCTTGAGCAGCAACTTTTCGTACAATTGCCTCATTTTCATTTAGTATATTTGGACCCTGATTTATTTTAAAGTTGATGCTGAAGACGGTGCCGCACCACGCTGACGTGGTCAAGGTCTTGTGCTTCGGCGCCGCCGCGCCTGACGAGCTCGCGCTGTTCACGGCAGGCGCGGCGCACACGCGTCATCTGCCCGCCGTCATCGCAGCCATCGACGACGCCCTACGTCAGACCGGCGTCGACATGAACCAGAAGGCGCCCTGAACAAAACCTCCGCTGGCTTAACTCCTTCACAATAAAAATATATTCCATGACACAATGAAAATAAATTCCATGACACAATGAAAATAAATTCCATGACGATGACATTCTCATGTATTCAAAGCAGTACAGTACAAAACGCTCCATGACCATGAATTAATAGAACCGTTAACAAAAAAATTTCCTGAAAATTTACATCGGCACCATTAAAAAAACTCGAAAAACATCTTATGGAAATGACAAGCAGATTCTCACTACACGACTTCAGTATTCCTGACAATAATCTAAAAAATCTTGCAGATTTGGGTTTAAAAATCATTTCAATTATTGCCTAGAATTAAAAGTCCTTTGCAGAGCCATCCAGTGAACGATTCAGTTCTTTATTCTCTAGCTAATTTGTTTGTTTAATAATAAGCCTCGTGATGTTATTAAAATGTTTTATGTTAGACCTCATTATGTAGAATATTTTTAGTGCTTCTGAGGAAAGTGATATGGGCTCTAGTAGTCGTTTCATTTATTAGTGGTTTTATGTTATATGTGGTACATTTTTGTTCTTCCTATTTTCATTTATATATTGCTACAAAGGTTTTCTTACACAGTGCGTCGCGTCTTTGGTACAGGGTTGAGGTCTGGTTCTCTATATAATCTCTTTTATAATAGCCTTGCTTTAATGCGGTCTTAGGTACTGCTATGTATTGGTGAGCGATAGATGGGTCTAAGATATTTACTCGCAGCGCAACGGTTAGCTCTCATTTTTTTTCATGGGTAAATCAATTTGAAGAAATGAATAGCCTTCTTTTTTTTGTCTATACCTTCATTGCCTTGAATATTAATTGCACTTTACTCGAGACCAGCTCTTTTATCGAAATCATTTCAGACTTTGATATTTTTTATTACATTATTTAAAAGTAAAAGTTAGACAGCTTGAACGGTAGGAAGATTTCGATAGTAGCTTACCATACAACGAACTCGTCCTCGAGTCTGCGATGCTTGCTTGTACGACTTGTCTTGAATGTTTTGCGTATACCGTGCCAGGGCATTTATTTTATGCAACCACTTAACCTCAAGTCTCACATATCATTTATTTTAGGTTCTCTGGCATTCTAAAGCTTATAAGCTACCAACTAGCAAATTAACGTCAAAGGCTCAGTTACAACACGAAACAATGATGCCATTTTTCAAAAAATCATTCTGAACAATCGTACATCTCTTATTATACGAGTATTGATTTGTGCATAGGGATTTTTAATTATAAATTAAATTAGCGTTTCTTTTATGCCTTCACGACAACTCGGCTCTTTTAGTTAAAACCGTTATTATATTTGACTCACCTTTACTGTTCCGAGGATTCGTATGATTGGCCAGCTGTAATTACGGCGTAGATGCAAGCTACTCTGCTTCAATAATTTCATATTAGATTTCGAAAATAATTTCCTTGCCAGGTTTGTTGATTGCAATATTTGTGATTTTCCTAGAATTTTTGCATGTTACGTTTAGTCTATTTTACATACAGATGAGTAATCAAGGGTGTAGTTCTCACGCTCGGAGCAAAGCAAGATATTGTCATCGGGGAAATTATCTCGAAGGGCTGGTCCAGAAATTGTACTGAAACAACGCAAGCCATGCATATATACGCAACTTGTAATTTGTGACATATATTTCTTAGTATGTTTCAGACTATGCCAATCAGAAATATAAAATACATATTCAATTCTTTATATCTGTCTGTTGTTGTATTCACTGGTTCATTAGAAACCAATTCAACGACTTCTTTCTGCTAACGGTTTACGTCAGTTGCCATCAACACCTGCCACTACCGTCTTTGTGCCAGATTTGGTAGATGCGACTCCTGAAATGGAACTCCTCTTAACCGCCTCGATGATGACAGTCGTCCATTTCCGTGAGAGAGCCACCGCCATGTCGCCAGACCATCTCTTCAATATTGTCTCTGCCCCCCCTAGCGCAAAGATCCATGAAGAAGTCGCACTTTCTTTCCGTTTTCGGCAGACGATGGCCCTTCCGCTGGCGGACGGTACCATGCCAGCCGGCTTCTATGGGAAGACGGAGACAGTATACATGGCTGCCCCTCCCGCCTTTATTGTTCGTAAATTGAGTAAACTCAAGTTGGGAAATTCTAGATACCTTGCCCCAAGCCATGCCTCAGTGCGGAGGCCACCCAACACCTCTTCTCCTGCACTTCTTCAGCAACTACTATCCTAAGTTTCTTCTTGAGGGACAGGCCGGTCGAAAAGGTTGCCTTGTTGTCCTTTTCTTTATTTGCGTATCTCTCATCTTCCACCAGTCAGTCACCTTAGCCTCCCACAACACGCGTTGACGTTTCGAGTAGCGAGTAGCAGTCGAATGAAGATAATTCAAGAACAGAATAGATCATCTGCGATTCAACGGTTTTCTTTGTGCTTTGCTGGTCCCGCCCTGAAATTCTTAGTTTCACCGGAAAGCTGCTGATAGCTTCATCTGTCGGATTCGTGGGTGTCAGAATTTCAGCCAGTATCGCGCTACAAATCTTTGCTATGGGAAGTGAAAAATAAGAAGAGAGCAGACTGCAGTCAGAAGATTAAACTATTTTTCGCTTCAGATTTTTGCCTGTGTAGACCCTGCAAGCATTTATTTAATTCAAATCGAACGACTGAGCGAGTGAAAAATTGAGCCAAGTCCGAATAACGATTTGAGCTTTGAATTAACTTGGTTGATAGATCCTGATGGAATGACGAAATGAACAACTCTACTGTTGAGGTGTTGCATAATTAAATATTTTTACTTGAGGGAAGTATTCAGTCGCTTTGGAAATGGGAAACTCGTTTTATTATAATAATCATGGCGAGGAACGGTGAACAGCGTTATAAGCACATTTAATTTTTATATTATTAATCCGTTCTTCGCTAGCCTCACAAGCACACCCAAACGAAGTCTCGACTGCTTGAATGGAAGCATTACATATGCAGGTCGTATTTCTTCGTTATTGCATTGCTAGGAATAATCAATTTCAACTAATCGTAGATAACGGCAGCAGATCAAACATCGATCTAACAGCAATCGTTTCTAATGATGGGTAGTATAACTCACTGCAAAAACTGCCTAAAAAATATTCTTTGTTCCACCCCTTTAACAAATCACACTTAGTACGCCATAATTACATGAAAAAATAGGCGTTTTTAATATACCTGCATAAATTCAAGGGTTCATACAGAAATTTTCCTTTCCCAAAACGGAGGAAATGGGCATCAAACTATATAACGGGATGCCTGCGAAGCCTGATCGCACCAGAGAGCAAGAAAAATGTCTGGAGATAAGCAAAAAATAAAAAAATAAATTTAATGCTCCCGTTTCGTTTTTAGCAGGCATCAACATAGTCACGTATTTTCAAAATTTTATCGAACATATAAAGACCTGTGAATGAAGAAATGCGAATATCCTAATGTGAACAACAGAGGAGACGGGGCGTGAGCCGGCGCTCGTACACGAAAATCGCTCACAAAAAAAAAACTGTGCGCATCGCTACCTCAAAGGCCCTACATCTGTAAATGATTACAGATGTAATCATGTCAAAGGCTGCGCTCCTTAGGTGGCATGATTACATCTATAGCATTAGTTTCAATATTGACACCCGCTGGTACCTGATAGAGGATATATAATACATGATTATTTATATTGGTTGAACAAATGCTCTCAAATGAAAATGATCAGCTTCTTCAGATTTGGACTGCCTAAAAAATGTTTAACGTGGAAACTATGCTCTCACGACAATCTTCTATTCGAATAAACCACATTTTTAGGGTGATAATTCATCATAATGCATACAAATCAAACTAACCAACAATTAGATGAATACAAGACTAGCACTGGGCCCTAGTAGAGGCAAAGAGCAAAACAAATGAAACCGCTAAATGATCTGAGTTTTCAGGTGCTTTAGAAGAGGTCAACCTTCACTTTCCCATATAATTTCAGTGATTCTATGACCAAAAGAATGTAATAAAACATATAGTCGGATTAAATGAAGAATCAAGGTTTGGTGATAATAAAACTACATCAAACCGCAAAAACAAAATGAAGAAAATTTAAGCCAGTTTGAGCTTACTATCTGCTTGACCAAATGAAAACGCACGTACTTTTCTGTAAAAAAATATTCAGAGCAGTCAGACCTCAAATAGTCAAATTAAAGAGTGAACCAAGCAATCCATTCAACACAATGGAATTAGATTATAGTTATCCAACCAAACGCCGCGGAAAAAATTCGCAGTACTCACTGGGACTTGGACGACAATGCGTATGTATGATACATAAGTAATTTTATGCGGCGTTGTTTACCATGAATATATTCCTGAACTGTTTACGCATTATTCCTCGTATAAAATACTGCATAAACGGTATATAGGTACTAGTGAAATCCACATCTGAACAATTGTTAACCAGGCAGCGGAAACTCGGCACATGCCAAGGTTTGCGTTTATTCAAAGCTGCTGATCTAAAATTTGCAAAAATCATGTTTAATTCAGGATTATTTTTCCCAACTTATAAGGAGGTTAATTGTCAAAATGTGTCTTTCTATACACAATATGTTGTTCCATAAGAATTTCTTTCACAAAAAGCTCTGCAAAAAAACTTGTACCAAAAAATACAAGCACTCTAGACATTTTTGTGGCTGAAGTGTCACCATGAAGATCTTGTTCCATCGTTAGCACAATGTCGCGTACACGATCCAATTGCAGAGCCAAACACAAGGAAGTAGAAAAATCCATTTAACTTTACAGTGCCAGGCTATTTCACTCCTTCCTGCGATATCGAATGTCGTTAATACCTTTTTTACGGCGAAAATATTTCAGCCCTACGGAACTTCCAATGGCGCATGCAGTGCCTGAAAGGCTTGTTAACTACGCACCTATGACTGAGACATCCGAGAAATGCAATTACTATTCATTCTATACAGGTACACTTCATACCGAACGATAGATCATAATAAATATAAACGGGATACATGATACAAAAAGATGATCGTTTCATATCAAGAAATAAAACAACTAACTTTGAAGTTACTGACCAGCATCAGGAAGTGACACGAGATGATACTTTGCCGCAGTCTCGAGATTATCTCTCGTAGTTCGAAATCTTGAATCGAAAGGAAAAACCCGTAGCCACTAAAGCTGAACGAAATTCAGAGAAGGGTTTAGACTTGATCTAAATAAACTAAATATCCTTTTATTTAAATCAATAGATAATGATTCTAAAGCTAGATTTTCTTCAAAAATAGAATACTGCAATGAGAACAATAAAGCGAAAATGCTTACACTTTCAACTGTTCGCATGAATTATCTTTCTATGGAAAAATGAGATAGATATATCCGTGTGCAAAATCTCTTGTTCCCAATCACAATAATGATTCATACAAATACAAAATAATTATATATATCAACTACAAAATCAAATAAAAATTTTGCTCAAATGTGAGCAACCGAAATATTAAGACCGGGAACATATCGTGTATTTACATAGAGAGAAATCGATAAAGAACAAGATACTCATTGAGAAAATAAAACTTGAAAAACGTTTCCAGCCACGAGATCTTCACTGGTTGCTGAAGAAGAGACGCCCATCAGTGCCGGTCCAAGCAGGTTAGGAACTGTTTCTCTACAACTACATCCTGCAAGTCGCGGCAGAAAGGATTACGAGTAACTCGTTACATTTACACAGCGATAGTTTTCTTTGATAGTCTAATCTGCAGGCTTGTATCCTATCCTATAGTCCGAATAAAAATCTCCATGAAATAAATGATATTTTTCACGGCAGTTGAGAACCACCCTCAATTTCGATGATTCGTGGTCAGGGGATAGCATAGCACGATGTCATACTTAGGATAGCCAATATGAGAGGCTTAAGTGAGACGATCGCACGCCTTGCGCTCACCAGTGCACTAAATTGACTCACAAAGCTGGCATGCTACACATAGACTAGTATAGACTACTAATCTAATTCGTCATCATCCCTGAATCTTGAAGATGGGTCATTAGATGAGCTGCCTGCTTCCTCTTCAGCCCCAGCACTAGAGCTGCTGCCTCGTTCGTTGCTCGAAGAACTCGTGCCCGCGAGATTAATAAAAGGGTTGGGGTGGCGTAACAAAACACGACTGCACACAGAAAGAGAAGAGATTCAATCAAAGCCAATTATTGAGTATATAAAAATAATAAAATATTAACACTACATTTTGAATACTAATCGAGTAACTTGAATATAGATAATGAATTCAAAATACGTATATTAATATATAACTAGGCCTGAGGACAGAGCCCAGACAAAGCTGGCAGACCCAGATGAAGGTAACCAGGCTCAGACCTCCTTCCTCCTAGACCCAGACGAAGCTGGTTTCCTGCAGCAGCTGAGCCATCGGGGGGCGCGTCGCCCAGCGCTGTGCGGCACACGGGGCATGTCGCGTGCTGGCCAACGCAATAATCAAGCAATTAAATACATTATAAACAGCGAGTGATAACCACATTTTGTGGCTAAATTGTAAGCAATCTACAAATAATAAACGCAGACAGTCCCAACATGCGATACACGGAGCCCGTAATGCTCGCTAGGCCATAGGACTGGCAATCTTTCCTTTTCATGTTATAATAGTCAGGGTCATGATGATGGTCATGATAATGACTGAGGTCATTATGGTAGTCATAACTTAGTAATGGTTATGGTCATGATAATTGTCCTGTATTGTTCATGGTCGAAATAAAGATTAATACCAGAAGCGTTGGCCTAGGTATTTCAAACAGAAATAATTCCAATTCCACGAAACAGACATTTAATCAAAACATTCATTGACTCTGCAAGAGGCTGGCACCTTTTGCCCAATTCTTATAATGGATAATAATGATCTCTGTCAACGTCATCCATTACATATTTTCAACAAATTAGGTACATACTAAGTGAATAAAAGTGAATAAATTTCATTGTTATGTAAACAAATAGTGTCACCATCTTTCAATTCAATTATTTTTTAGATTACATTTGGCTTAAAGAATTGATTTTGAAGACAAGACGTTTGAACTCACCATCTTGAGCCAAGGCGTGATGCAAGGCTCGTGAAAGAAGTGATCGCAGCGAAGCTTCTTCACGCTCTCCGACAAAACAAAATCTTCCATGCAAACCGAGCACTGCATTTTATTCTCTGTTTACGAAAGTTAATAAAATTACTTTTATTTAAAAGCTTGGTAGGACCACAGCTATACCTATACTAACCCTGAAATTAATTTTTGAATTGTTCAACGGCATAATTCTCACGGAACACATCTTTAGTCTCCTAACAAGCTATCTTGGTATTCAATAAGAGTAAAAATCATGAGTGTATTCAACAGAAGTACAAATATCATATTTTTATATTACTATAAATCGAAATTAAATCAGTGAATTAACATGGTAGAATCAGAAATAGCACTAATAACTAATTTGCAAAAAAATTAATTGCAGCGACTGACGGCATTGTTCCTGAGTAACTTGAGTGGAGGGTATGGCGGCGATCTGGTCAGCGGTGAGCGGGGCGGGGCCGTTGTTCTCGAGCTGTCCCATGAAGTGCGTGATGACCGCATCCAGGCCACCACGCCCCCACACGTAGTCGCCTGGGTTGCCTGCAAGCTCTTCCAGGGCAGACAAGCCAAAAGCCGGCACTGACAAAACCACAACATATCTCATGAAAACCATTAATTTAGGCAGTCAAAATAATGGATAATTTATGAAAACAGGAGTGGATAGGTATTTTATGGAGGAGGGTAGGTATCAAAAGAACATTGATGGACTTCCTAGATCTCATGGCAGGGCGAAATGTAAATCTGATATTACATAGCTACATTGTTAATTGCAATTTATCAATTACAATTGTCAACAGAAATGATGTGTAGGTATTTTGAAGGAAAACAATTGAAAAGAGATAATAAAGATGATTTTAAGCAATGCAATGTACACGAACACGGCAGAGACAATGGCTTCAAACGTCACCAAAATGTATTCACACACGTTTTCACTGATGAAACTGACGCATCATTTGAAATTAAAAATAATCAGAGGGAAACGTGTAGATTGTGCGGATGAAATAAAAAATATAGGTAGTCAACTCGTGTGTTGGGTCATCTCATTTTTGGGGTGCAGATTATTCTTCGATTTATGGGTGGATAGCTTGAGGTCAGCATAGCCCAAGTCCACAGTGCAATTCATATACCTTCCCAAGCGTAACGCAGCCGGGCATCTTCACGGCTTTTGACACAAAGCGCCCACCACAACAGCGCAGTTCAGTCACAGGCCGGAGCGCATACAGGCCAGTGCACAACTGGCCAGATCGCAACAGGCCCTACCGCAACAGCTACTCCTAACGTAACCTAACCTAACCTGCGCCATCTGTTGCGGTAGGGCCTGTTGCGCTCCGGCCAGTTGTGCACCGGCGCTGTGAAGTAGTGGCTGTGTTGTGCAAAGCGGATTTACTGTTAGCCGGAGTTGCACACAGCTCATTGGTTTGAGGCTATGTGTAGATAGTGCATGCTGATGGTGCATGCTGAATTTTGTTACCCACGGCTGCGCTCCCTCGATTTATACCGTACCTCAAAACTAGAACTGAATTCCAGAATTAGAGTACCCTCATAACAGAAAATCAACTGATGAGATACCTCCTGAGATGTGGACTATGAGGTCCTGCAGCATGGGCGCCAAGACCTGGTGGCGATCTGGTCCCCTCAAGCGACTGCAAACATCAAACTAGATACCTCCTGAGATGTGGACTATGAGGTCCTGCAGCATGGGCGCCAAGACCTGGTGGCGATCTGGTCCCCTCAAGCGACTGCAAACATCAAAGATCGCGGATAAAAATAATAGGCTTGCTTACACTGACTTACTCCACCCATAATGTGGCAAGCAGGAGACCAACAGAGATTACATGTCAGCAAGCAATCCTTGATTATCCAAAAGTGTTTCATCTTTAGGACAGTTTTCCAACAACTCATTGCAATGCCAAGAATTTAATTGAAGTACAAAGTATGACTCATTGAAATTGTGGCAGGAACAACGAGCATCTCAACAATTTGTTTGATAATAAACCCAGTTGATGTGATCTGTAGTCACGAAGCGGTGAAAAATTCAGCATTTGAGGTTTGATACACTCAATATTTTACCATTCTATCTCTACACAGAAAAAAAGGTTATCCAATCGGCATTGGATTTTAAGTCAATCTGCGTCTCCAGTTAATTTGATTCTTTGCAACCAAAATCTGGTCCACCTGTACTGAAACTTCTTGAATTAAACCAAATGTATTCATTTAGGAATGAAATTTTAGCCTATGATTCTGTACATTCACAAACGCCATTGATGAATCTTTACCAATCCTTCAAGAAGTCTTCAAATTTCAAGAAGAGTCATTATGTCAGAAGCCAATAATGAGAGGAACCTGCGCCTGTTGGGGACGCCCATGAGTAGCGTGTTGATGCGGTGCCTGCTGCCGCCCCGTCGTCCACTCCCTGAGCCTGTTGCTTCCCCTGAGGAGCTTCCCCCTGCCGTCGCAGCGTCCCCCACGCCGCCCCACAGCACACTGTCCCCACCACCTGGGCAATACAAGAATATTTAATGTTGCTTGTGTCAAATATTTCCATTGTAGGCTGCATAAATCAACTACTAAAGCACTTTAAAGTATCAAACCTGTAATAATGAGGTTATAAACTGCATCTATTAAAGACTGATGAAATTCACTGCAAAGTTTAAATGAATCCCAATATTACTATATACAGTGCAACTAAACCAATCAACTTTATTGTAAAGTTACCTGACAAGAAAAATGTACAACTCCACCACAAGAAATGCTCAATGTAACTTCAAGTAATCAGGTAGTCAAACAGGAATTTTTGCATACTGATAGCTTATTTTTAAGCTGCAAAACCTCACCTGGGCTGCCATGTAAAATACTGAAGATCATATCTCTGTCAGAGTCAGAGTCGTCCATGGCATCATCACTGTCAACATCAATGGCATCTTGAGATGATCCTGTAAAAAAATTTGTAGGTGGCATAAAATGATAAATTATAGCGTTTGATGAAAGGTAATGCGTCAGACATTTTTTAAAGGGTAAATTTATTTATTGAAATGAAAAAATTCTCCATAAACTGGTACAGAATACTGAAATCCTTCATTAACTCTACTGACTTAATATGTCACTGCTGAAATGAATAATGTTAAAATGAAATTTTAATAATATGTACAAAACCTCCATTGTTAATATGGCATAAGAAGTACCCCAACTGCAACTGGTACAGGTGCTTATGCACAAGTATTAGCCAATAGTGGTATCACAAGCAGTAAATACTTTCCACTTCAATTATAGTGCCAATTTTTCTCAATTTTAGCATAATTTTCTATAATTTTGATAAAATTGATAAGTAAAAAATTGTAATTTTTCATCTAATATACTAACTGCTACCACTGTCTGCTAATACTTTTTGTGTGTATAAGAACCTTAAATCTCTGTGGACTTCCTAGCAGGACCCTACTCTCTGTGGACCCTACGGTACTTGGTGTGGTTCACACTACATGCAAGGGATACTCCTAAACCTCCAATGGTTAGGCTGCATAATTTCTCTCACTTCATTAAATGGCTTCAAGACAGCAAATAAGCCCTTTTCATGTCACCTATTGGCAAATTTTTAGGTACTGTATTGACAGTACCTAAATGTTCCTTAATTGGAAATATGTTCCTTATAATAATGTAGTTTGGTATTACTTGCATGTGATTGCAAGATTGCCTCTAGCGCATTATATTCATCTTTTTGGTTAAGGGGAGCGTCTGGGGTAAAATTTATCTCGGCTATTCACAGACGGATCACTCTGAAACTTAGTACACATATGTAAAACAGAATTCTAAGACATTTTTGTTTGTGTGAATTTTTCGAAAAAATGAAAGAAAACGTGAAATCATTAGAAAACGGCCAAAAAAGGGGGTACTGTAGAAATCTATCTCCTCCTAGGATTTTCAAGCTACAACATCGAGACACATATCATTCGATTGCTGCATAATTTCTCTCACTTCATTAAATGGCTTCAAGACAGCAAATAAGCCCTTTTCATGTCACTTATTAGCCAATTTTTAGGTACTGTATTGACAGAATAACTGGCATTGACTTCCTTATAATAATTAATAATGTAGTTCAGTATTACTTGCATGTGATTGCAAGATTGTTTCTAGCATTATAGTCATCTTTTTGGTTAAGCCATTGGTTAACAGATCCATGTTGTCCACTTTTTGCCATCTTTATTGCATCTCCCAAAGGTGATAATTGTGTCCACAATACTAAAATTATTCTTGTCATATTATAAATGAATAAAACAATAAGTTTCATACCAATCCTTTCTATTGCCAGCAGAAAGAATTGAAAAAGAGAAAAAATACAAAAGAAAATACAGACACTAGAACAGGGAAAAAGTGAAAAAGTCAAAGCACTATCAGACTAGTAGATGAAAATAATTTATACATAGCATTAAAATATGCCATACAAATGTTACTATACTGCAAAATCCACCCCATAGTAAATTTGATGCAGAACTAGAATGCTTCACTTGAACAACACTAGCTCACCGGACTGTCTTGGAATATTTGTTTCGCTGGTGCTGTTGCCCATGTCACTTGATGGCTCAATGAAACCATTGTCACATCGAGGACATTCATATTCCTGAAAATAGCATTAGAGGGTCAAGTTAAATTTTGAGTCATAGTAAAGCTTTCAATAAATAACAGTAAGAATCACACTAATTCACATAAAAGTAATGGTAGGAAAGTGTGATGAAGTTAATATTTATAAAGCCAAGCTGTTACAACATAATTGCATGAAATTTTTCTTACAAGAAGAAAATAAACATATTCTCATCTCTATTTGGTGGTTAAGTTTCACAAAATATTTTATATAGGTTCTGTGGGTAAAAAATGCTATTAAAAAATGATGTCATACTCACTGGTAACCTTGGAACAATGTGAGCAGAGCACTTATGGCAGAAGAAGAGATTGTTGTGCTGGGAGAGCACATCTGAAGATTGAGCTTCAGCCATGGTTATAATCAAGCTTGAGAGTTCTAGGGCTCTTAAATAATAAACTGATTGATGAAAACTATATATATTATTAATAGTTTGAAATCAGACAAGCAAGTTATTTAAAATATTAGAGAACAAATGTTTTATCTCTTATATTTTCCCCAAGTAGCTAAAAGCAATTGGTGTTCATAACCTAACAAAATTGAGGGACAAAAGATGAATTACATCAATCCAGCATCAAACTGAGTGAGATCATTCTCAGTTCATTTTACACTGTGCTCTGCCCCTTCCTTTGGGCAAAGTGGGGTTTACACTGTGTGATCTCACAGATTTGTACATAAATATATCTGTCCTGTAGACATAAACCAATAATATATCTGTCCTGTAGATATACACCAATAATATATCTGTAGATGGTGAAACAAAATAAATGCTCGGCGATGATCTAAGCCAGTGGTTCCTCTAAGTGGGCAATATCACCCCCCTAGGGGCGATGGAGAGATTTTGGGGGGCGATAAGGAAGAAGAGGGCATTTGGGGGCGGTAGGGGGGCGCCCGAAGTCAAAGTCAGAAGTTCCAACGTTTGTTTGGCAATTTGTACACAACACGTGCAGCACATTATGACTCACAGCGATGGTTTTTTCACCCAGATCAATTTTTTTAACCTCTCCTGGGTTTACGTCTCGGACAAATTAACGGCTAGACTTGTGGCCGGTCTCACGGCCAATTTCCAAATTCAATGATCAAGGAATATCTCAAACTAATGAACTTAACTTGATGAAACTTGGTACATGTATTCATTAGGACCTAATAGTAATGTTTAGCTTGTCAATTTCTTTTAAATTTTGCCTTCATTTGTTTTGCCATAGTTATATGCAATACGGGCCGAAATTCACAGTGATTAAGGAACTTCTTCCAAACTATTAAACAGATTTGAACAGAATTTTAAATTTACAGTCCTAACTACCGAACGGTAATGTTTTCCTCGTGAAAATTTATTCGATTGTTTGCAAGTTTTTTTTTCATTTCACCTTCATTCATGATTCAAACAGCAATGCGTGCTTAAATCCGCAGCAATCAAGAAATTTCTTCTAAAACTACTTAATAGATTTGAGCAAAACTTAGTACTTGAATACCTAACCTCAGCAACGGTGATGTTTAACTTGCTACAACTTTTTTGTTTTGCCTTCATTTGCGAGTTATATGGCTATACATATATGGATATACGTAAACGGCTCATGGTTAATCTGGCTGGTAGAAAAGCCTGTCGTTCCTCCTATATCTGTATAACTTGCGAACGAGAGTAAAATAGAAAAATTGTCACAAGCTAAACATCACCGTTGAGAGGTTATGTATTTATATACAAAGTTTCGTTGAAATCTGTTCAGTAGTTTAGAAGAAATTTCTTGATTGCCGCAAATTTAAGCGACAAATTATCCGGCTATACAGGCCAAATATATGGAAGTGTGAAATCGAGAATGACGGTGAAATTAAAAAAAAACTCGCAAACAGAGGTCAAATCGAAAAATTTCTATGAGCTAAAAAATCACCATTTGGTAGTTAGGAATGTATATTCAAAATTTTGTTAGGATTGGTTCAGTAGTTTGGAAGAAATTCTTTGATCACTGCAAATTTCGCCCTTTATTGTAATATAACTCACGAATGAAGGTGAAATTTAAACATTTTTATGAGCTAAAATAAAATCACCATTAGGTTCTAATGAATGCATGTTCCAAGTTTCATTGAGCTGCATTTATTAGGTTGGGAGATATTACTTGATAATTAAATTTGGAGATTGGTCGTGCAACCGGCCACGAGTCCGGCCATAAATTCGCCCGCGACATCCTAGGTTTCTAGTGCTGAAATAGTTAAAACAGCTTAAAACACATTAGTTCACTAAATGGGATTCTTCTGTGAAATACACATTTTTTAACCTTAATCTTTTAAAATTTCAGCATGCTAAATTTCAAGAAAGAGGCGCATGTTTTTATACGTGTCTGTGGGGTTTGCTAGAAATTCACTAGGGAGCCAAAGGGGGCGCCAGCCTGAAAAAGTTTGGGAACCACTGATCTAAGCATTTGGCTTTCCTATATTTGACCAACTCGGGGTCTCTGGAATGAAACTTCAACCACCATAAGTAACAAAGTCCTCTCTCTCTCTCCAAAAATGTCTCTTGGACCTGTGGTCAGTGCACCAGGCATACATTAAGATTTATACCATGATCATAGGAAAACCTCAATTGGCCAAAAACTCAAAGTAATTACAGAGCAACAGCTCCTGCTCTTCTGAAAGCATGGTCAGTTTGCCTGGTTCACAAACTTCCTTGCCTCTCAATTCAGTGCAATCCGTGAGTCTTGCATGGCACATGCATGAGCATGCAAGCAGCACATGAAGTGTGAAGATTCTCCTTTCTGCAGGCTGCATGAGCATTTTCCATGTCCTTCTGCCTCCACAATCTACCACATTGATCACACAAAATACCGAAATATAAATATTCATTATCTGACATGGGTTTTATTTGACATTCAACAAGTTTGTTTATGTGCTTGAAATTATTTATATCTATTTTCATCTCTTCATTCCAAGAGATTTAACAAGGTAGTTGGCCTTTTTAAGATAATCTATAAGAAAGTTGACTCTTATCATGCTTATTCAAATAAGCTCAGAAACTTCCATGCAGCACTACGCTTCGTTTGCGTAACTTCCCGTAACTGCACAAGTGTCATGCATGACCTTTGAAGTCATTTTACAATATTTTTAAAAACAAATTGCTAATTATGTGGGAAACAACATGAATGGGGAATGATTCTTAGATTATTTTAGGCAACACTTGGACACAATTATTGCATTGCTGGTATAAATTAGCAACAAAAATTATCCTTGAAGTCCTGCCTCATGAAGCCCACGCTCAGGACAAAGTAGGTTTTCAGGGAATTTTTTTGCGCATAATGAGTTTTTTATCCTAATGGTCAGCACAGTTTGTGCAAAATAATCTAAATATTTTCTCTTCACACAGGTGTTGGCGCAAATTCCGGCCATTGATTATGTGCGGCTCAGTTCTGCAATATTTCAAATATTGTCAATCAAATATTCCATCCAGATGCGAGGCAATTGGAGAAACCAATTCCTCAGAAAGTGGACATATAAAGTCATGGTGATGAATGAAGTAATCCAATATTAGTGTTAGGTGGCAGATTTTGCTTGTTTTTATATGTATTAATAGTGCACTGATAGGGTTATTATTGGTTCTACAGTTAATGAAAGGAGTCGGAAACAATTTCATCATTCTAAATAATGGAAAAATAGTTTTTAAGTGCAAAAGCTTTTGTTAAGGGGACCGTCTACCCTCCGTAAAAACTTCTACAGTTATTATCCGATCATCGTGAAACTTCACATACACACGTTGTTGGCGGGGGTGGTTTAGGTTACTTTGCAGCACACCCTCTTGTTCCTCTTATATGTGTCCCCTTTTTCCCTCTTATGTGTGTTACTGTGTGTTTATATTGAAGTGTTTAACTATTTTATAAATTCAACTAAAATAATTCTCATTCTCTTCAGGTCAGGTTTAGATCAGTAATTGATTACCTAAATTTATGCCAAAAACTATTCTAAAGTGTGGTGCTGTATAAATTGCTGTCCCACGCTCCCTAGTTCCTAACCTCTCAAGTGCTTTGCTGGAGAGCTTTCCCTAGTCCCTAACCTCTCGAGTGAGTTGCTGGAAAGCTCTCCCTAGTGCCTGACCTCTTGAGTGATGGGCTTTAAAGCACCCTATGAACCTCCTAACTGACTTGTATTGGAAGCAGTTATTGGTGCGCATCTTACTCATTGGTCTGTGTGCATTTTTACTTGGGGTCATCTTTAGTTCAGCTTCAGTTTATCAGTCTTACACATTTTCCTTATTCTGTCATTTTCCTGTCACTTTCACTGTATGAGATCCCAATAGGTATTAGAACCAGTATTTGCAGTTCATTTTCCTTTTCAACATCTAGTCATCATATTAGTTTCACTAATTCTTGGTTACCAACAAGTTAGTCAAAGTAGGCGACGAGTTCGTCTCACCCGCGTTGAGACACCGGTAACAATGTAAAATGTAAAAAAATAACATTTTGCTCATATGAATTTTTCGAAAAAATTTATAGAAAACGTGATATTCATAGAAAACGGCCTAAAACGGGTACAATAGAAAATCTATCTCCTCCTACAAATATTGTCCTACAACATCGAGACACATATCATTTGATTCGTAAAGACCATACCGTACCTATCAACTCAGCTATCTCTTTTTTTCATTTTCCCCATAGTTTTTTATGCCCGTTTTTCCCATTTTTCCACTTTTTCCCTGCCCTCCCCCCCTTCTCCCCCATATATAAGACGAACCATGCACAAATTCAAAAAGAAGGATGGCCAGGTCGATAGGTATGGTCTTTATGAATCGAATGATATGACTCATTGCTGTAGCTTGAAAACTGTAGTAGGAGATAGGTTTGCCGTGAGAGCAATAGGAGGTTTACACCAGGCCCAAAAAACTGCAGCGCGGCACGTAAAGGGACGTAAAAGAGTCGTAACGTAGCCTAGATACCGTAATTAAGCCTCAAACCAAGTCAGAGAGACAGAGCGACTGGCTGCATACCTCTCACCTTGTTGTCATGATGGACACTGACTGCTTTGGCTGCAGCAGGCAATATTTATAGCCCTGCTCTCGAATTAAGCCCATAGGAATTAGTGAAGGCCACCCCCACCTCCCCCCGTTCCATGGGGCGTGGTGAACGTAAAAATGGACGTAGAGAGCTGATTTTGCTACCAATAGAATCGTCAGAAAGTAAGCTTTAAGATGAGTATAAGCACCGGATAATGCCATAATTGGCCACTTTACGTCAGACGTTCCTTTTTAGTGTGTCCAGCCTTCGAATTAATCCCATAGACTTTACTGAAGGGCCCTCAAAACCATGATGGACCCTTTAGGGAGCTGTCACGAAATCATTTTTTGACGTAGAGAGATGATTCTGGTACCGTTTGATGCGTCAGAAAGTAAGCTTTAAGATGAGCACAAAAACCGGAAAACGCCAAAATTGAAAATTTAGAGGTAGACGGTCCCCTTAAGTAAATATGTTTAGACATAGCTGCCATCAGAAATTCCCAATGAAATGGTCTGACAACATTGTCTTCAAGACTTATGTAATGCTGATACATCGTCATTTCACAGGTCAGGAAGCATGCCTTCAGCAACCAAACAAACTTGCAGCAGCCGGCGCCCGGAAGGCAGCACTCGAAGTAGTCTAATGAGAGTGAAGCATGAAAAGATTTTTTTGTACCTTCTTGAATCAGAAGAAATTGATTTCAACTAAAAATAATACTATGAAGAGGTAATACCCTATTTGACTATACTATTTAACAATGCCAATTAATTCTTATTGGTAAAAATTTATATGCACTGTAATTAAAAAACACATTTATCTGAAATATTGTAAGTCATGCTGTAATGACGTTAAGACATTGTTATAATGTCTAGTTGTGAGTACCCTAGTGGCCTCTGTTGGGGTACTGATTATTTAGCCACTTTTCTTGACCATTAGTTCTCTGAATATTTCCTGTGTGAACTTATGATGGCCCTATGTTAATACTAGTATAATAGTGTTAAGATAGGTGATATTGTACAAATTCATTGCGATCACCCTTGTGCACTATGGGAATTAGGAAGAGTAATGTTTTTGATTGTTTCAAACAATAACCTTGTTTGTTCTGTAGAATTTATTACTGACTCTGGAAAAGTCATTAGACACATTACCAAACTGTATCTGTTAGAAGTTACCACAAAAGGTTTTTGACCTGGGTCAAAAATATGTTTAAAGTATCAAATTAACACCTATAGACCATGCCATCAAGCTGCTAAAAATGCTCTTGCCTTACTTAAGACATCAATTTCTTCTTGAATATTTTGTATCACATAGTCTAATTACGCTCTGTATTTATGCCGCATCAACTTAATTTGTATACTGTCACCTGCGGTGACTTTGGCCACTTTGGCCAACGTTCATGATTTTGTTTCGCTGCCATTTGTTTCTGCTGTAGTTGTATTATATTCTTCTGTTATGTTGTGTTATAACTTTACACAACTACAACAAACAAATTGCAGCAAAACAACATTATAAACATTGGCCAAAGTCAACCTGGTGGTCAAAGTCACCCCAGTTGACAGTACTCCTTTTAGAAGTACAGCAGTTAACAGCGCACAGCACATTTTTTTACCTGCATAATACGGCGCACAGCACAGATTGATAAAATTACAATATAAATTCCCACACAACTGGCACATCTTTCTGACCATGGCATGAAGCAAAGCTCCTACACAAACCTCACCATTTATCCTAAATTTGTATGCACTTAGGTGGCCAGGCCACTAGGGTAAACGCACCATATTCCGACATTGTGGATAATTCCAACACTTCTCAACTTTTTCCTTTACTTTAAGCTTTGTCTTAGTTCGACGCATGCGTAGATGGTTGAAATAGTGACGTCATACAATTGCGCGCCAGATTCCTGCAAAACACTAGGTCTGGCCGGAAAATGTTAAGATCCTCAGAGGGAAAGTCCAAGTCAACTAGTGAGAACATCGAAACATGTGTCAAAGTTCATAGTTGACCTTGCTCTACCAAATAGTGATAAACTGTTTGTATAGAAAGAATATTATGGTTTGAGACTTTTAAATAAGTCTGTGAATATATTAGGAATCCTCCAAGTATACTTGTATTCGCTGATTTTAAGTGGCAAATAAGTTAATATATGATCAAATTAAGAGACGGTTTTAGACACATAAAAACTAATTCTGACACAGCTTGGAATTGGACACAAACAGCTTGTTCCGAGCTGTGTTCAAAAATTAAAATTTTCTTAATTAAAAGCTTAATAGCTCTTAATTAAAAGCTTAATTAAGAAATCAAAATTTTTTAATTAAGCTCGTTCCGAGCTGTGTCGTATTCTGATACAGCTCACACAGGACGTCAGAATTACGAATTAGTAAGAGATTGAAGCGCTGTTGGAATTAGTNAATAATTACTTTAATTAGAGTTATTCTTTCATTCTCCAATTCATACTGGGTTGTTGCCAAAGAAACTCCAAAAGTAGGTGACGAGTTTGCCTCACCCGTGGCGGGAGACAGTACCCCGGCAACAATATGAATATCAATATGGTGTGTTTACCCAAATTACCATACGTATATAATATAATAAATATATTACAATGTCTCTAAAATTCAGAGTACAAGCAATATACCTAAACCTCTTTTTACAGCACTTCAGCTTAGGACCCCAGTCAAGTTGAGTCAACCCAGGCTGGCACTGAAGGACCCCAGGCTGGAACAGAAAACAACAAAACATTTTCTTGGCAATAGAGCATGGCCCAAATGGCAGCAAATGCGGTTCAGACAGGAGAAGGAAAAATTTTGTTTTGCTTGCAGAATTTTTGTCATGTAGGTAAATTTAGAATCTCAAAGCTATTTATAAATTAATTGTTGGAACCACTGTGCAGAAAGTGGATGAACATTGCAAGATCTTTGGCAACGCTTCAGTAGCAAAATTTACGCCTTCAGAAGATCTTTGGCAACACATTTAGATTGAAATTCTTGCATTTAATATATTTGTCAGTCTTCGGCCAACTATTTTGAAAAAAGTAAGGTTTCTGCTACGTTGGATTATTGGATGGATCAGGATGCAGTAAGGCTTGTCCGGAAATCAGTTGTGATGAGTTCCTGCCAAAAAATGTAAACAAAATCATAGTTGCGGTCACATTAGAGCGGTCAGACTGCATCATCACATGTTCAGTTGACACTTGCTGTACAATCGGACTGTTTTTAGGGTAAAATTAGTTATTCTAAATGTGTTGGCAAGATCTTCTGAAGGCGAAAATTTTGCTGATAATGCGTCGCCGTAGGTCTTTAAATCTTCGTTCACTCTCTGCACAGTGGTTGAGCTTGAGCTTGAATTCCATATATCAGCATTAAAAGCCATTTATGAGCTGGAAGCCACAGACTTTTTACTAAGTCCTGTGCACATGTTAGTGATGTTACCCCTAGGCCCTAATCTCTAATTTTACCCTGATAATTGTCAACACTAGCATTTGTCTTTGCTTGAGACCGTAATTCTGTCACTTTCTTGTGGTAACGATTAGGTATAAATGCTGCTTTAAAAATCCAAAAAATCTGTAAGTTGAGTGGCAACTGATCACATGATAATGCAGTCTGACCGCTCTCAGGCGGCGCTCTGCCATGACTGCAACTATGCAATCAATAAGGAAACTTTTTAGGTTGACTTGTTGGTTCGTTGTGCAGGATATTTTGGCTGGATCGTTGAAATAGTGCAGATTGCAGAAGTTGGAAATTTTATGAAATGACATGTTTGCGGAATGTGGACAAGCAAACCACAATTTTTTCAATCAAACAAAAATACATGACATTAGAGCCAAGAGATTTCATACCTACTGAAATTATATGACATTACTGCTGTGATATTTCAGAAAAAAATAGGACATTTCCAGGCCTGCCAACTATGCATGTGTTAGTTTGTTTCACTAGGTTGATTTTAGTACACAACAATTGGTCTAAAAATCCATGATGCATACACAATTGCAAATTGACCAATTAATTTAAAGCAGACAATTGTTTTACTGCAAATTGACCAATTAATTTAAAGCAGACAATTATTTTACCTGGCCAATTAATGGCATCAATTTAAAGGTATAAATCTTGCTCATCAATGATCAATTGATGTAAGCTGCATGTCTGTGTGTGTTAGTTGGTTCAAAAGGTTGATTTGATGATCACATCATCACCATCTATTTCTTTACATCTTTTCAGTTTAAGTTTTCTGAAAAATTTGAATTTTTTTTTTTATTTACTTTAAAAACTTTAAAACTCCTACAGTATTTGAGCAATGAATGACATATCATTCGATTCCCCAAGACCATACCTAGCGACCCTAGGAGCCCTTTTTTTGGATTTGCTCATGGTTTGACTTGTATATGGGATGGGGGGAATAGTTTGTCCAGCCCTCTAATTAGTTCCCATAGACATTTCTTAAAGGGCCTAAAAACTGCCCTTCTTTGGGAAGCTGTCACGAAATCATTTTTTGACGCACAGGGATGATTCTGGTACCGTTGAATGCGTTGAAAAGTGAGCTTTAAGATGAGCCCAAAAAGTGGAAAACGCCTAAATTGAAAATTTTAGGTTAGACGGTCCCCTTAAGTTTTTTAAAAAATTTGAATTTTATTTTTTATTTACTCTAAATACTTTATAACTTCTACAGTATTTGAGCAATGAAAGACATATCATTCTATTCCCCAAGACCATACCAGCGACCCTAGGAGCCCTTTTTTTGGATTTGCTCATGGTTTGACTTGTATATGGGATGGGGGGAATGGGGGTGTAAATGTAAAAACGCGCATAATAGAAAAACAATGGAGAAAACAATAACCAGGGCTCTAGAGCTGCTAGATAATTTTGTTACAAATTGAATGAGATGTGTCAATATTGTAGCATGTGATTTGCAAAAGTTATAATTTTTTCAAAGTAGTACTCCCTTTCTGGCGTTCCCTAATAATTTCATGCTTTACTGCATTTATTTCTAAAAATTCACCAGATCAAATTGTTCTTTGTTACTTAAGTATGTGTATGAAATTTCAGAATGATCAGGTGATAAATGTAGAAGTTTTTCTGGGACCAAAATGGTCCCCTTAACAAATAAAATTTCAGATCCTGCAGAAATCTCAACATGACAAGAATGGTACCTTCTGTATATTAGTCCCCAATAGCCTCTATATGTCAATGTCACAGCACAAGAGTTCAAATAAACACAAACTTTGACAAATATATACAAGATTATTATTTGCTTTGTTTGATTAATACTTGTTTTATTATTCAGCTTTCAAATTTTACTGAAATCTGTGATTATGGAGCTAGTTACTTTTTATGAGTGAAAAAGCATCCACATTCTAGATAGAAGCTTTATATACCATTTACGGTACCGTACCTCATTAGCGCATTTTCTCATTTATGAAAAATAAGGAGCTTTTGTGCTCGTCATGTCAGTCTGTCCATCCATCCATGACTACCACATTTTCATCAATGAGAAAATGAGCTCTCTGTCAGTCTGTCACTTAATGCAGTGAGTACTGAGTTATATTTTTCCTGTATTATGCTGTCCTTACCATGCCTGGGTTTTGACTTAATAGACAGTAGAGTGATGTTGGCTTGTAGAAATCTCTGATCTCTCTTCAAAATAATTTTTACCATGCCAATTTTCCAGAGTTTTTAGTTTCTTCTTTTTTATTTTTTTAGAATAATTTTGATTCAATTGATTTTTTTATACATCATGAGTAAGCAGTGTGCAAGGTGCCAAAAAACTGTATATCCTATAGAGGAGCTTAAATGCCTTGACAAGGTAAGTCTGGTTAGATCATCGGTTTAATGGTTTATTTGAATTCAAATTTGTATATTAATTATAATTGATTTTTTACAAAATTTTGCCTGAAAACAAAGTTTTTGTGTATCAGTACTCTCAAGGTTTTAGTTATGAAAAGCAAAGCTTGCAATTCAAATTAAAGTTCAGGTAAGAGCTGAAGTGATAGATAAGCCTAAACCATTCAACTTGATCTAGATTTTCAATTATAGCTGAATATAATGATACATTCTTGGTTTAGGTAGAAATTTTTTGGGGCTCTATGATATGCTTTGTGATATACAATTTTTCTGCCAAGACTTCTCAATTGGCCCTAGTGTGACTTAGACCCTTGTTTATTAAAAGTTTACTCTTTACTCTTATGTCACTTTTCTCTCAAGTACACTCCCAGGTAAAGGATCAAGTCACAATTCATCTTATATTTATGAGCTTATGATATACATAGATCAGTTCTAATTGTTTATTGGGATTTTATCTGATTTTTATGCATCATTTAGGCTATCATTGTTATGTTAAATTGTGCAAGCTTAGTTTTTCAGCAAGGTAATTCAAGGTTAATATCTTTGAAAAGTGTTGGTTTTCTTACATTTGTATGTAACTTAACCCTAAAACAAATTGCTCTTTGGGCATACTGTCCACTGCAATAAATATTTTAGACTTGAAAAATTAACTTATATGGAAAATTTTCCAAATGCCTATGGTCTTTCAGTAAATTTTTGTCAATAATGGATCTCATCTATTTGATGAGAATATTTTGTCTCATTTTGTAAATTTTTTTATAAAAATATTGTGGATAAATCTGAAGCAGTGGTTCCCAATCTTTTTCAGGCTAGTGCCCCCTTTAGCTCCCCAGTGAATCTCTATCGCCCCCCCCACAGACAGACGCATATAAAAACCAACACCTCTTTCTTGATATTTAGTTTGCTGCAATTTTGATGAGAAAGGTTAAACACGAATGTGTATTTCACAAAAAGAGCCTATTTAGCAAACCAATATATTTTTTACAGTTTTAACTGTTTCAGCACTATAAATTCAAGATGGCTTGGACAAATTTGCAGCCGGTCTCACGGTCAATCTCCAAATTCAGTAACCAATGAATATCTCCCAAACTAATGAATGCAGCTTGATAAAACTTGGAACACATATTTATTAGGACCTAACAGTGATGATTAGCCTGTGACAAATTTTTAAATTTCATCTTTGTTTGAGAGTTATATGGCAATATGGGCTGAAATTCGCAGTGATAAAAAATTTCTTCCAAACTACTGTACAGATTTGAACGAAATTTTGAATATAATTCCGAATTACCAAATGGTGATTTTTAGCTCGTGAAAATTTATTCAAGTCGGAGTTGTGTTCTGCACGTGTTGTGTACAAATTGTCAAACAAATGTACAAACTTCTGAAAAAAATGTACAAACAGACTTCGTGGACTGCTGCCCCATAATGCCTCTTTCTCCCTCATTGCCCCCCCAGATTTTTCCACTGCCCACAAGGGGACAATATCACCTACTTTGGGAACCACTGTTCTAAAGCAAATGTGATCATGCAAACACAAATTGTTTCTTAAGCACTTATTGTATGTTTTACCTGCATGTTTTTATCAACAAATGATATTATTTCATCTCCTTTTTTCAAATTACTTTGACCAAAACCCTGTGGGAAAACCTAAAGAAAATATGGTCCTTCAATGTGAGGTGCTATGCCTCAAGCACTGATATTGTGTTGTGACCAATAATATGTTTTGTGTTGACAGTTATGGCACAAGAGTTGCTTCAAGTGCCAAGAGTGCAGTATGACACTCAGCATGAAGACCTACAAAGGATTCAACAAGCTCCCCTACTGTGAGGCGTAAGTCAACTGCAAATCATACCTATACCAGTATCAATGATTTCCATCAATAATTAAGTAAGGATATGATGAATAGTACCCATACTTTGATGTTTTATAGAAATTAAAATGAATTATATTTTCTTTTGTTTATTTTTCTTTTGTTTGTGCCATGGATGCCTTTGTCTTTTGTTTATGCCATGAATGTTGAATACATACAGGGTGACTCATTTCATAGATGTCTTTTCATTCTATTGAAGGCAAAATGTTCTCCCTGTATAAGTGCCAAAAGATACGAGATAAGTGCCATAATGGCTTTATTTGAATAAAAAATAAATCTATTTTATTTTTGAATTTTGACTGATTTAGAAGACCTTTTGATTAATCTGGTTAACTATTTTTTCAGCATGAGCATGGTCACTGGAGTAAGATTGTATTGTGTGTGAAGTCAAACTGATCACAAGGCTCAAGAATACATTATTTTATAAATGATGTTAATTATTTTACAGTCATATTCCCAAAGCCAAAGCTACCACTGTTGCTGAGACACCTGAAATGAAACGCCTGGCAGAAAACACAAAGAATCAAAGTAATGTGAGTGTGATGACTTCTTTTTTCTTCATAATGTCATTGGTTGTTTCTCTATATCTTCAAATCAAATGTTATCAACTGAGATTTGTCATTTGTGCAAACATTTTATGTGTGAATATTTTTAAAGTATTCTAAATTAATCTTAATTCAGATATAAATCAAATATTCTTTATGTGTATCAAATATTCTGTATATGCATCAAATATTTTGTACATTTTTAATGAAAATGAAAAATGTTATACAATAAATACATATTTATTTCATGCATCACTGTGAATATTGATGAATATTTGATGCGTCTTTGTGATGTATAAAATATTCTGTGTGTGTATCAATTCTGTATGCTCCAGTAAATAAAGGCTTTGCAACACCTGAAATGTGATATCATATCAAAGCCTGATTCACTTTTTTCCTGTAATTTATTATGATTATTTTCTGCTTGTATTCATCCTGAGATTTCATCATAGGAGCAAAAACCATGAGTAGAACCATCAAAAATGAACAATATGGTGAACAAATTCCATGGTAATTAGTATTTTAATAGTAAATCAAATTTTTTGTGACTTATTAGAAGTCACTTTTTTGGTAAATTTTGTTATGAAAGTATCTGTTAGAAGTCAGTTTGTAAAATATTTGAATATCCATTACTCTTCTATACTTATGTGTAGTACCAATTAAGTGTTTTCCTAAAATTTTCTCTTACAATGTTATTATCACCTAAGTAACTAAATACTATTCCTGAGCCATATTTTCTATGACAGAGTTGCATTGCATCATTATGTAATCTTCTTATCCATGTATATAAGAAATATCCATAGATGTAAGAAATATCCCTACAGACAGGCAGAGAGGAGTTTCTTCATTTCCACCCACTTGTGCTTTTGTTTGTTTATTTTATTTTTTTCCATTTTAGCAAGTTGCACATCATGCGGGTAAATGTCAGCATCTCCAATTTTATTTTTTTAGTTGACAGATTGTTTCACGATTTCACACAATTTCAAAGATATGAAAACCATAACAATGCCAAATTTTAACAATTTTACACCAGATTATGTAAAGGTGACATATTTCAATTATTAAGACACGTCTATATTTAGTCGAGTTACTATCTCTAGTCATATTTTGTAGGTACAATATCATGCCGAGTTTGAGAAGACCAAATCCAAGTTCACTCCTGTTGCTGATGATCCTGAAACCCTGCGGCTGAAGGCCAACACTAAGAACATCAGGTGGGTTTTTCAAATTTTTTGACAGATGCAATTCATTTATATATTTGATGGTGAAGTTGTTTACCATTGTAATTTTATTTTGATTGATTATCTTTGTTGTTGATGTTCATAGAACTAAATATTTTAATATTGAATTAATGCGTGTATTGCAGCAATGTTGCTTACCATGGAGACTGGAAGAAGAGGGAAATGGACAAGAACCGTTCAATGGACATGGAAAGAAGTGGTGAGTATTAGTTTTATATAGTAAATTATTAACTCTTTGAAGTGACTGTGAAAGCAGTCTTATAACTGTCGACAAATTTTTTGGAAATAAAAGTTACATTTCTAAAGAATGAATTCCGTTTTTCTTACTTGTGTTGCTGCCTTATATTCACATGTGTTCTGTTGAGTTGCTTTATGTATAATTTCTATTGCTAAATTTTGTGTGCAGATACCTCTGAGCTGAATGACCAGCAGTATTACGAAGAGCAGCTTGGACAGCTTCAGAACCTGCACATATCTAAGCCTGTTGATGCGTCACCTCAAGCAGCCAGCAATGCCTACTACAGCGAGCAAGGCTACGGATACGAGAGCAGCGCTTCTCCACAGCGCAAGCCGCAGCACTCCAGCAACTCTGCGAGAAACAACAACACCCAGAGTCAGCACATGGCACATGGTCATCGCCAGGCTGAAAAAATTTCTTCTCAGCGTGACCACAACCAGAATCCTGGACAGAGGGCACCTCATACAAGTCAGTTATTTCCTTTTATCTATTTATATTTTTATGCACATTACTATTCAAAAGTTAGTCATATCTGCGTGTGTGGTGGATTTATACTCATACTTATCAGATTATTTTGAATTTGACACTTCTGTAGGTGTTCCCTGATGTTAGATTTATATATACATTTATACAATGCTTTATTTATGCTCTTAATCCCATAATGCACTTTAATTTGACATGATGTTGGTGTTGCCAGATGCTGGATACGGCGGCGAGCGCGCTAGGAGTCACCAGGACCCCACGACGGAGTGGCAGCAGCAGCAGCGGCAGCCTGCAGGGGCCCCCACTTACTATGAGGTGCAGGACGCTTACTGTGAGGTGCTGGACGCTTACTATGAGGTGCTGGACGCTTACTGTGAGGTGCAGGACGCTTACTGTGAGGTGCAGGACGCTTACTATGAGGTGCAGGACGCTTACTGTGAGGTGCAGGACGCTTTAAAATAAGGTTTTAGTGGGGAAAATTTTTGCGTTAAAAATTATCCCAAATTTCAGTAGTGCAGTTGAACTTCATCCGACATCACAAAATGTATCAAGTATGTCGATTCATGGTCAAGACTATCATCTTCAGACCACATAAGGCGTTTTTCCTAAACTTCGTACAGCTTCAGCCAACAAAGCGAGAAGTTGAAAAGTTATTCCATCAAAATTTCAGAAAATTTAAGGATATTTTCTGTGTGATGATTTGGCATATTGTCCTAATCATTAGTAATAGTACATTCAACCAATCTTGGCTCACTGCAAAAACATTGTTCATGTTATGTATGCCTAATTTAATATTGATACATTGCACAGGGAGGCTATGGCCGGGAGATGCCAGCTAAGACGACGCAGCAATATCATCAGGACCCTGAGCCCTACCGTCACCAGCAACACCCGCCCTCCAGCTACGGCCACTACCCGCAACAGCCGTACGAAGGGCAAGCAGGAGCTCCACGGTACCCTACACAACACCCTCAGCAGCCTGCCATGCACCAGCAACCCCACATGGTACAGCCAGCCATGCAGCACCAGCACGCTATGCAGCATCAACATGCCATGCAGCAGCATGCTCCCCAGCAGCAGTACAACGCTGGTCATCCTGCCAGCCCACGCAAGTCTATGCAGCCCACAAATATTGGGGTGAGTGTGGCTAATTGGTCGCGGTGAGAATTATCTTGATACATAATTTGGTTCTACTCACAAATTTATGTTGATCCCTTGTTTCAAATAATGCATACATTGAAGATATGGACTCATGTTTCCAAGATATATATATCTGTATATTAATGCAGGTTTCATTGAAGACCAGAGAGTATTTCTTATTTACAATTTTCTTATTGTTTTTCTTTATGCGGCGAATTAGGCTCTTGATAGGAACTGAAAAAGTTAAATATCCGGTTTCCAAGGGACATTTTATTATAATTTTAATTTTACGACGTTTCGAATGCAACTTCATTCATTATCAAGTAGAGGACGAGTTTTGCAACAAGTGAATTTTAAATTTTGAAATGACAATACCGGTAGTACAATATAGGGTATTATAGATACAGATTGGAATCTATGATTCCATCTGTATCCATAATACCCTATGTTTGTACCATTACTGTGAGGATTAAATTCTCCTACTTCATATTAGGAGAATTTAATTTGAGTTAGTTTCATAACTCTAAATTTGATGGTATTTGTTCATTGTTAGGAGAATTTAATTTGAGTTATTTTCATAACTCTAAATTTGATGATATTTGTTCATTGTTAGCGTCTGTTGCAGCGCTGCTACCAGGCTCTGTACGACTACGACGCCGCGGACACGGACGAGATCAGCTTCAGAGACGGCGACCTGATCATCAACTGCAGCGACGTCGACGAGGGCTGGATGACCGGCACTGTGCAGCGCACCAACGCCTCCGGCATGCTGCCTGCCAACTACGTCAGGAGGGTCTCGTGAGCCTCCGCCTGCTGCATGAGGGTCTCGTGAACCTCCACCTGCTTCAGGAGGGTCTCGTGAACCTCCATCTGCTTTAGGAGGATCTCGTGAACCTCCACCTGCTTCAGGAGGGTCTCGTGAACCTCGACCTGCTTCAGGAGGGTCTCGTGAACCTCCACCTGCTTCAGGAGGGTCTCGTGAACCTTCATCTGCTTCAGGAGGGTCTCGTGAACCCCCTTCCTCCGCGTCTGTTCTGCCTGCTCTTCTTACTTTTCTTCAGCTGCTTGCATTTTTATCCTCGGCTGCCTCCTCTTTTGAAGCATTCCTCAGTTGCCTGCATCGTTGTTAGTGCGCAGCTACCTTCACTATGAGGCATTCCTCAGCTGCCTTCTCTTTGAAGCATTCCTCAGTTGCCTGCATCGTTGTTAGTGCGCAGCTACCTTCACTATGAGGCATTCCTCAGCTGCCTTCACTTTGAAGCATTCCTCAGTTGCCTGCATCGTTGTTTGTTCGCAGCTACCTTCACTTTGATTCATTCCTCAGCAACCTGCATGGTTGTCAGTACGTTGCTGCCCCCATAACAAGACTGTGTGCAGCTTCCTTCAGTGCCTTATTGACGACTTGTTGTAGGCAACGCATGCTGTGTGTTGCCCTGGATCTGTTGCATGATATTTATTCTTGCCTGCGTCTTATGTTCCCTTTATTAGATCATCGTGCGTCTGAAGCTATACATTGGCTCTGTTCATGAGATTAGGGAAAATTGTTTCTTTTATAATTGTAAATGCAGGACAAAGGTGACTAATTCGTCTGTAGAAGTGTTACCATCTTCATCGGCACGAATATTATATCTCATGCTACAATTTTGTGTTACAATTTTAAATTATCCAAAAGATCTTACTTTTTTGCTGTTTCTTTATGCATTAACAGTGAAAACTTAATTAATTAAAACCTAATTATGCCTGTAGAATTCAAATCGGTTCGATGGACAATGTTATTAAAGGGAATGTGAATCTTTAAAATTGGCAGCTTTACTCCGATATATTTATTTACACTGTGCCTGGTGTTTTACTGATTTAGCGTGCTCTGTATTTTTCAGCTTTTTTAGGCGCATAAATGAGTGGAGAGTCCATGAGATGAACTTCTTTGTGACAGAATTTCCACCGCAGTCTTACGTTTTGTCGCATTTTTCGTCATTCGTATCCTATCGCAAAATTGTCAGCAACAGAGAAATAAAATGGCAGCTTCTGAATACTCATTTCCTGTACGGCTAATAATTAGGATCTGATGCAGCTTTTCCTTAGACCTCAGCTTTTTCTTTAACCGCTCGGGTTTCCTTTAGAACTCTCATTTCTTCTTTCGACTTCTCAGTTATATGATTATGTTGCTTGCGTTTGTTGTACAAAATACCTCTTGCATGCTCGCTGTTCGTACTGCCTGTTCGTACTTGCACGCCTCTGTTCGTAAATACTTCTCTGTTCGTACTGCCTTCATATTATCCCGTGTTAAATTAACAGCTAAGAAGGAACTTATTGAGTAGGATACAAGATCAGGCCTCTGTATATACCTCCTTCTCGACTCCAAGGCACTCATTTCCCATGCATCGATCCTATGGGCGCCCGACTTTTATTACAATCCAGTTTCTGTTTCAAAGCGCCCAGACACTCAATTGTTGAGCTGAAAACAAATTGTTGCCATGCATTCTGACATCTTTATTGTGCGTTCAGTTGGTCGCAGTTTTAGAGAACTTGGCACGCGTAAAATCTTTTTCTTTTTGGCACGCGTAAAAAAATTTACGCACGGGTTTTTTTGGTACGCGCCAAAAAAATTTTTTGGCACGCATTTTTTGTTTTAACACGCGTAAAAAAAATCTCCATTTTGAGCCTTGTGGTAGGCATTTGTTAAGCTTCATTCCATTTTCTCCAGTTGTTTTTAACTGTTAAAAAAGGGTGAGAAATGATTGGTGTTAAGCATATTATTTAAAGGACAAGTTCTGTGCCCCGCCAGCCACACCTCATTTTCCTACACTTAAGTTATGTTGACTTGACAACGTTATTTTCTCCAGTTTTGTTGCTTCTATTATAGACATAGTTATTTATAGTATTGTTCTCAATGCGGAGATAATAGATTTTATTGCGTTATTGTATGTGCCCTCATAGCCGTTTGTCTATGCATTGGATATACTGGTTATTAGATTTATTTTACTTCTAGATATTGTTATTATGTATCATGGATGTATTCATTGACAAGTTCATCTCCTTTGCTCGGTACAAATTATATCCCGTATGTCCCTGAAAATGTGTACTGTGTGTACTTGGCTTAACTGTAAACTCCTACGCCTGTAACCCTCCACTCCTCGAAAAATCCATCCTGAGTATTTTAGCGGAGACGTACGAGTTACATTCATTGCTTAACGACGACTTTTTTAAACTTACCAGGAATCGTTGTGCCAAAGTTTTTTTAGTGTCGATTTGATTATCGGATATATGCACTATCAACAATGGAAATGCTTGCTTAATCCAAGCGCTGTTCGAGGTTGCCACGCACATCTAATATTTCCGGCACTTTGTAAATGACGAACGCTGTGCGTTCTCCGGTGCGAACCTAACGGTAGCGGTCACGGTTTCTAACTAAACTTTCGTGTCAATCATTCTTGAGTTCAAGCTAAAGGGGAACGCTCGGCATTCTGAATTGAATTCCACATCAAGATTTATCCTGAAGTATCAAGCTTCTCGTCGCACAGTCTCACTTCACAAGCTCATGTCTGCTCTTCATTGAGTAAGCGCGTTCTCTTCTCGTTGACTACTTCTTCATTACCACTGTGTTTTTTTTTCACAGGTGATTAAATGACTCTGGAAGATTTTGCTCTTTGGGTAGATGTTCTCTCGCCCGTTATCATTACTGTCTCGCTCCAATTTATACGAGCTGACTTTTTTTATTCCTTTCCATTCTCGAGACAAGGTTTTGGATTTTTTTAGAATTCAACTAATTTCTAATAAATGCTTGAGTGTCGCAATCTACTGTCACAACAACTGTATTTTATTACGTTATTTTGATCATCTCTAACCTGATATTTCTAATCCTTAATCGCCATCTGTGCATTTCAAGTTAGCATGCATCCTTTTCATTTCAGGTTGGCAATCTAGCCGAGTTGTTTTTCATATCTTCACCACCCGTGCAACTGGTCGCTGCCTTTCTCCTTGTCAAAATAATGTTCATGTTGCTGGTGATTTCAAATAAGTCCTTAAACACAACGCAGCTGTGCTGTGTCACACTAGTTAGACTTTTGCGCCGCCTTTGTCATCCGTTTAAACCTTTAGTTTACCGTCTGCGAGCAAACACTTCTGCTCTATTGCAGATGGCTTCACGTCATATATTCATCCGTTGATTGTCCGTGAATGTTGGACTGACGTACAATTATTTGTTTGGGTTAATGTTGTCTTTTGTCTTATACCTAAGATTATATTTGAAGATAATAAAATTGTGCGATCAACTGGTACATTGCATCAGTATCTCTAATTGTATGAGGACGCAGGCTCATGATATTTCTCGTGGCAGGCTTAAATTTTTTTGTTTATTTCTAGAGGAAATAACGCCCTAATTTTGTAGCCCCGATAACCCAACACTTTTCGTCCCCTTTAACGTTGAGAACTTGAACTTGACTCGAGATGTTTCACTTTTTAATTGTGACTGCCTTTAGATGACCGTGATCTTTTGATCGTTTTAAAAACCTGAAATATTAGCTTACAATTTTGACTTAAGGCTTGATAACTGGAATTGACTTAATGAACTAAAGCTTATAATGAGATTCCTGTCTTCCTTGCTGCCTTGTGAAGCCCTCAACTTCAGTGCTCTTTATCAGTGCCTTGTCTCAACTACTGTCTCTTGAACAGACGTTACTCATATTAGCATCCTCGCGTTTATTCACATTCCCCATCGTTTTAAGCTTTTAATCTATACACAGGAATTATGAAATTTTTCGTATTTGTTCTGACATTATTTAACTGTATACCAAAAATTGATCGTAACAAAAGGCTTTATTTAACTCTTGTCGGAAGAATGGTTTCGCTCAACTGCAAATATTACCCAGATTACTGATCCTGCGCAAATATCTTTTCACTTCTACAGGAATATACCAAGTGAATTTTCATAATAGTACCAAAAATTGTTCCCTTGAAATGCACCAGACCGAAAACAATACCGAGGTGGATGTACATGATGAGTTTCAAAATGAACTTGTAATGCAGATGGGAATATACTCTACTCGTCTAAGTTTCCATGTATAACAGTCAACACAATAACGTCTATTCCGCACTCCATTACCTTGCCAGGTTCTTCAATTAAAATTAAAACTGGGTTGCTTGATGCGACTTCAAATGTAGAACCGGCACATATATTAAGGACATTATAAACAACGACAGCTCCAATTATCTAATGACTAAGAATAATCTATTGTGTATAAGTAAACTCATAAGTGCAGCTTATAAACCGAATGTTCCTCAGTTAAAAACAAAATAACAAAAACAATTTCAAATAAATGGTATCTTTTACTCATTTACATCCTATTTTTGATACGCAATGCTCTTTTCGGTTGCTGTGAGCTCCAAAAATTCAGACGGGTCAAAATTTCAGAAAGGCACGTATTGGCTTAGCTTCGTTCGTTGCAGTTGAAAAAAATATAACTCAGTACTCACTGCAGTGAGTGACTGAGAGCGCATTTTCTCGTCGACGCTCACTCTCACTCTCGTCGATGACTTCATGATCTATGCCTCATCTCGATACTTACCCGCTCTCGTACGCAGAATACAAACTGCCATAAACCGCGCAAACCAGTGGACCACGGCTCACGGATTCTCATTCTCAAGCGACAAAACCGTTGCTATGCACTTCCAGCGAAGTCGCTCTCAAGAACAACCCCCTCCATTTTTCCTACAAGGCCAGCAAGTCGCTGTGTCCCCCACAGCCAAATTTCTTGGTATGATATGGGACAACAAACTCTCATGGAGACCCCATGTGCGGGCTTTAAAAGGCAGCGTCCTTAAGAGGATGAATTTGCTGAAGCACCTAACCGGACAGTCGTGGGGATCTGACCGTGTAACTCTCTTCCGCCTTTACAGGGCCATACTAAGAGCCAGGTTAGACTATGGGTGTATCATATACCAATATGCCAGAAAAACCACACTAGCGCTACTAGACCCAGTCCACAACGCTGCCATCAGGATATGTACTGGAGCATACAGAACATCCCCCACCATCAGCCTCTATGCAGAAAGTGGAGAACCACCATTGTATCTCCGCCGAGCGCAGCTTACGCTACAGATGATCACTCGCCTCAAACAACTACCGTTATCTCCAACATGGCTCACTGTAATGACCGAAGACCAAGCAAACCCATTTCCATATAACATCCCATCATCTGAAGACTACGATGCACTCTTTGCAGCAACACAGGCCCAACAGATGCAGGTTATGCCCGTCACGTTCGAAGACATTCCCACGTGGCGAATCCCCATCAGCACCTTCTGCCCGGATCAAAATCTCCCACTAAAATCCGAGCTGCAGGCAACTGCGATGAAAAACCTTTTCCTTGACCACGCAACTACAAAGCATACAAATTCGACCCATATATACACTGACGGCTCAAAGTCGGACGACGCAGTGGGGTGTGCGGCTACGACCGATAATATGCTTAAATCCATTTGCTGTGCCAACCTCAAAACCAAATCGATTGTGACCAGGATCCGTTACTCTTCATTCAGGGGAATTTCTGGAGAGATTTAAAGCGGAAATAAACCGATGAAACTAATTTACTATAGTATAGCACTATAGCGGTGTCAGCGTTGATTAGGCCGTTATTCAACCATGGTTAGACCTCTCGCTGATTCTTAATTAATATAGCAAAAATTTCAGAGCTTGTTGCGATCTCGAACACTCAACTCACTGCTCCAATTTTTTCTGTGCTTAACCGCTCAGCCACATAGTCGATTTGACGAGAACTATCGCAGTTAGCTGGGATCGAACCCTCTATTCGCTGCTCCAGTCTTTACACTCAGCTGAACTAAAACCACTGGGCCACACTGCCCACCGTATTAACGATACGGCATGTAGAGAGCTTGAAATAAAATCATAGTATTCACTACTCACTCCATGTGTTACAAGATTTTCAAATGCAAAGTACTAGGTCAGTTTAGGAGGCTAACGATTAACGATTGTGTAATTAAATCCAATAGACTCCAAAATAGCTTCCATTCTCATCCGTTGTTTCCGATATAATTTTTCCTGTGCATCGCACCCTTCACAGGTGTTATGTTTATCTGATGTCATTTTGTGCAATTAGAGCTCGTCGTGAAGATGCGGACAAGTCCCACAATCCATTGTTCAATACATACCTGTAACTTCCATGCTCATTTTAATATATTTAACACTTCAATAAAATTTATTCGAATTCATTATTCTGAATAAGGCACGTCGTAAAATTCTTCACATTATTGATCAGAAAAATCTACCATTTATCTCAAGCCTATCTGCCATATTGACATTTTTACCGTAACTTTTATTCTCGCCTCAATCCCATATGGCGCGGTACCTCTCTGCACCCGCTGACCCGCTGCTCAAAACTCTCTTGCGTTTGATATGTAACGCGTGTGGGATGAAGCCGCTCTGTTGAAATCCAAGTGAAAATTTCATTATTCGTGACGACTGATCTCTTGATTATCATCAAGTTACTGACTGATTTCATTATGACGACATCTTATCAATTAACTTCATGTTATGAGCACAGTAGCTGCCCAATATTCGATGGAAATTTTGAAAAATATAAGCTGTGGGAAGTTAAGTTCTTGGCTCACCTTTGCATTAGAGGTCTTGACGATGTACTGGAGCAGCAAAGTGACGGTAGAGTAGATGGTGCTACTCCATTGGCTACAAAAAGCACGGAAAATGGAAAAAATTATATTGAGATGAATAGACTGATTTTTAATGAATTGGTTCTAAGATTAGATGACATAAGTTTATCTATAATAATGCGTGAAACCAAAGATGATGGTATAAAAGCTCTAGCAATTTTACGCGACCACTACATTGGCATGCGTCGTCCCAGTATAATGTCTCAGTACAATAATATGATAAACTTGAAGAAAAAAGATGACGAATCTGTGATAAGTTATATCATCCGCATTGAAAAAGCAGCTACATCTCTCAAAAATGCTGGCGAGTCTGTGTCAGACTTGTTCCTCATAGCATTGGCTCTAGATGGCCTACCGAAAAGTTACTCGACATTTACAACGGTGTTCATGCAAGAGGATCCTGAATTTTCGATCGCTAAATTCAAGAAAGCGTTGGAGATGTGTGAAGCGATAGAAAAAGTTCGTCGCAAAGAAGTCAAGATTCATGCTGCGAAAGAAAGGAACAAAAAAAAAAAACAAGTGTGAAGTAAATGGGCGTAGGCACGTGTAGTGTTAAGCGAGATCAGACATGTTATCATGTTATGTAGGTAGTTTGTGAAACCACTGCTGCACGTTGAACCCTAGGATTTAATTTGTAGTGACTCGAAATCATACTCGCACTATCATTTCTTGTGAACGTCATGATTATTTTTATTGAATCCCCAAGCGCGTTGAGCCGTTGAACACTATTTTCGTAGTTTCATGTTACCTTGTTAGCTAATATTTAACCATTTACTTCATTGTTCACTATAATACAACTGTAATATGTATACTTTCAGATTCTAATAGGGTCACTGAAAAAATTGTAAATTCTATTTTGAGTCTGCCAGCGGGCAACTTTCGCCAGTCATGTCTTAGCTTAATTTTTTTTCAGCATCGACGTGTGTACAACTTTCTATGAGTAAGGGTTGTTCGGCTACATCCTTCTTCCACCATCAATAAATCTTGACTCAGTTCTCAACACGCTTTCCTTAACCCTTGTCTACATAGTTACACCAATTAATTGGGAGACGGACGAGCGTTTGTAACTTCTAAATCCAATGTCAATCCCCTTAGCCACCCATATTTTTCAGATCTCCCGGATTCGCTTGAACTTGAAGAAACTCTACCTAGGCCTGACTGTCTTGTACTTGGACGGGAAAGATACAAACGTGCCAGAGGCACAAAATTATTAAATTGATGTTCAAATTGAAAATGTAAATAAGCTGCAAAATGGATGTAATGCGACTAATGACAGCGGAAATAAGCTGACTTGTCGGTAATTTTGACCACCTCCTCCTTACATGCATACATTTTCATTTAAAGAATCAAGGAGATGACTCTTGTAATAAAGACACGAAAAGTGAGAATCCCATCAAGCCTCAAGTGCACTGGGTACCAAAACTAAATAAGTTTGAGTAAATTTTGAAATGAATATACGGTTTATTAATGAATCAAATTACAGTCTAAATGTTGGTTTCTAGCAATTATAATTACCTGTATCGGATCCTTTCTTCCTCAGCACACGCGGAAAACGTGTGTTTATTTCAAGTTTGTAACAACCAACACTTGCATAAAACCGGCCTTTGAATAATCTTTAGAACTCCATTCTAATTTCATAGTTGTGATATCTTTTCAATAATCTAGTCACCTCAGCCCGCCTGACAATGCGATTAATTTTTGCACTGACAGTAGGTGAATATGGTTAATGAAACGTCCATTTCAAGTGACAATACCTTGAAGTTCCAAGATTCAGACCTTATTCCAAAACTTTGTTCATAACCAATATTCACAACATAACTTTAAATCCTCTGACTTATTTATGCTACCATTTCATCACAAGGCGGGATTTCATCACAATTTTTAACACGTTTTTCTTAGCTTAGCTTCGCGTTTGTTTGTTTATTTGTTTGTTTGTTGTTAACATTGACAACGAAAATTAGCCCACTTCTGATTGTTCTAGAGATCTGAAATTCGGCATGCAGGCTTGTGGACTAAAAAGTAGAAAATAAATTATGGTTCGCCCCAAAACAACGTGGGTCGGGCTGTACGTTCACCATCAAATTTCCAAAATTCGTGTGTTGTGTGATTTTCGCTTTAATCATAAAACTGCCCGACACACGTTTTTTTTGGGCGAACCATAATTTATTTTCTACTTTTTAGTCCACACGAAAAACGTGTTTTTTTTTAAAAAATTTTAAGTATTTTATTAATAATTCAACTACGGCACCAGAATTATTGAGAAATATTGAAATATTTTTGTCTAATGTGATCTCAAATTATACGAAAAATGCGACTCATACATTGCAGTATTAAACATCTCTCCGATTGTATATGATAATATGATCTACATAAACATTACATAGGACAAAAAGATGGAAGTTAAGCGTTCTCCCTCTCAGCTTTCCTAATTAAATATCGTTGCTGAGCTTCCACGAATTTGTCCCCGACCGTCCGTTTGGCAAACAGACGCTCGACGCGCTGTTCCCTAGTCTCTGCCACCTTAGCAGGGGATGGAGTGGGCTCTTCCACTGATGTTTCACTTTCTGAGGAAGATGCTGCTTCTTCTTTTATATTGACATGATCATTCGCCTCTGGTGACTCGTTTCCACTTTCACTACATTCTTCTTCTAGTCGACGAAGTCGTTTGGCATTTGTTTTATCACCTGATTTGTTTGTTTTAATTTTACGAAATTCCACTCGTTCACTAGAATCATTTGATTTGTTGGTCTCAGTTCTTCGTGCCTCACGCAAAGTGGGATTTTCTGGAACTTCCTTGCGATGAGGTGAGCGAGACCGAGATCTGCTGGTGTCACGAGGAACGATATCAGTTTTTCTGTCAGCAGGACTTCTGAGGTCTGAAGGATGTTGGTCGTCCACACGCCTGTCGTCCACACGCCTGTCGTCTGAAGGAATTACTGCGTCACTGACAGGCACATCGCCCATCACTCTTTGCTCAAAGAGGTTCTTGTAGAAACTTGCTCTGTTTGTGTCTTTCTTGGCTTCGTTTTTCTCTGTAAAAATTAACATAATAAAATATAATTAACATGCAGCAGTAAGAAATCAATATGACAGAGTGCATGTAAATGTACATTCAAGTTTGCTTCGGAATCTTACTTGCTTCTTTTAGCTTCATCTCCAACTAAAATATAACTTTACACACGATAAATGATTTTCAATAAATTTTTACTTAATAGTAATTAATAATCCTACTAAAATTATTCATTTATGATCTCAATTGATAAATACACCACATTAAAAAAATAATACCAAATTTCAAGGCATAACAACAGCATCAGCTGTATTATTCAGAATATTGGTGTATATTACAAACAATTCATTCCGGTTTAATAAGGAGACTTCTGAAATCTTTCCAAAAGTGCCAACCAAGTGAAGAGCCTTCGACGCCTTAGAGTGTGAAGCTCATCACATCATCAGTCAAATGACATACGGTAACAATAAACAAAAAAGCATTTTAATTGGAGATGTAGATTGAACTTGAGAGTTTACCTTCAACCTTTGCTTGCATGATGTCCCGAGCGTCTGCTTCTCTGATCTCTTGCAGTTTCTTGCTGTAGGCGGGGGTGACGAAGGACTCCTTGTCTTGGAAGATGCTGCCCTCTGCTTGCCTCTCCTTCTGCAGCTTACGCACAGAGCAGCGGTCGCGCTCCAGCTCCCGCCGGCGTGCTGACTCCAGGATGCGTCCTATGTACTTAGGCTGCACACATCCCATTATTACTTTACTTAAAATGAACTTTAATTTTTTTTTTCAATATCATCATATGCGTGTATTGGGCAGTACAATGTTACGCTTTGTAAAACCGTGTTATGTACTACAAGGTTATGGATTCCAGGTATAAATCATGATCAAATGTGACTTAAATATTTATTTATGAATGCAAAACCAAGTCGCATAAGAAAGCATAAATTCTAGTATCATTCTAATACTTAACTATGCAAGTGACAGTAAAATTGATCATCAGTACAACATGAAATAGGTAAAATATGTTATATATGTCTGATTTTATCCAGACGTTGAATCAATCATAACCTACAGCAGTGTCAAGCTGCCGACGCTCCTTGACAGCAGTAAGCTGTGCCTGCTGCTGGTCGTAGTGCTCATCATACATGAATATCGAGGGGTCCTCTTCAAGAGCCTCCCTCATGAGCCGCCTCTGTTGAGCCTGCTGCGCTGAGTTGCCTTCTCCTCGTTTCTGAAGAATAAATGTTATCAACTCCTGGTAACATGGCATGGGTAAATATATTAAACTTGTTATATACTGCATAAAGGCTAAGAAATTTACATGCAATTTTGAGTGTCTCTTCAGCATTGTTGGAACTGTGATTCAGAGCTCTACGTCTGCAGCTAAAATCTTAAACGGAGAACAATTTTGCTTCGTGAAACCACTAAGAAGTGCTAAAAAAAATTTCATTGATTTTGTATTACATTGTTCCAAATTGTATTTGCTATGTTGGTACAGATGTTTAGGAATCATATTTTTATGGGAATTGTTGAACTTTACTCTATGGTTTATAGAAGAAAATAATGTACTTTTAAAATCTCTGAATCTAAAATCTAAATACTATTTGATGTCATTACTAAAATAATCCTGAATTTTGGTACATACTTGGTCTTTTAACTAGACATAAATATTTAAATTAAACTACAACAAAAAAAAAATATATTTTAATGAGAAAGTATTCATCACAATAGATCACCTGTACTCGACTCTGTTCTTCTTGTGGGTCATCATCTTCAAGCTCATCATCTGAAGTCCGCAGAACATTGATCTTGCGAATGCCTCCCACACCGGCAGCTGATCTTGCCTCATCTCTCCTAGCTGAGGCAAGGATCAGCCCATACCTGAACATATCATACAATAATAAGGGCTAATATTCACAATAAAATTTCATATATATAGTTTGGAAACAAATTGTAATCAATTCCTGCTTTTATTCAACAAAATGATGCACAAAATATAATGATTTAAGAATGCACTTGATTCATGAAAAAATGTCATGACATATATAACACCTCTGAGCTGAGTGGGAAAAAGTTTTCACATCTTCAAGTAAATGCAAAGCAACATAGAAATGTTAAATTGTGATTTCTGTAATTTCATTCTTGAGATTAATCGACACTACACTTATGCTAAACTGTCATGCTGTTGCCTTAAGAAATGGTTGTTTAACAACTGTTATGGCTGAGAAAAAACTAATATGATTGACTCTACTTTGAGGGTTTAAGACGTATATAAACAATGGGCCAACTATGAACATGTCTGAACTAGTTTAAGAACTTTTGCCATGATTTATATATTCACAATTGATCCAGCTGTGCCCCTTGCTTGATCCAAAAATATCAATTGATTTGTGAAGTGAATGTCTGGTTCCATGTATTTTGATACAAGAAGACATGGGTATGTTATCAGTCCATAATTCCCTTTCCCCAATTCCTAACCAGGCCCTGGCTCAAGAACAACTCACAGTTCATAGTTTAGGTTCACTTCATCATTTATCAGCCCAAATCTGTATCATTAACCTGCTAAGTTGCTAAATTGTATAAATTATCTTCATGTAACACTGCTTAATTACTTCTTTATAAGATTTATGAGTGATAATATAGGTTTGTGTTTTTCAACTTTAACAGCTTATATTCTACAGGCTGAATTTTTTTTTCTGTCAAATACCCACATTCAAATTAGGCAGAGCCACAACAAGATTAACAACAATAAACCAAATCGTGCACTGATTTAAAGTCACAGATTTTCACTGATGACCAGATCTGAGTTTGACATTACGTCAGTAAGCTGCAAGATTCCTGCAAGCTAAACTACCTCCTGCCATTCTCAAAGCTGTGAGATTCCTGCTAGTTGAATTACCTCTTATTTAATTGTTAACAAAATTGCTGATTAGGCCAAAAGATCCCATATGTATAAAAAATTTGTCACTGTATCATTGCAAGATTTCATTTATAAGTTAAGAAAATTCCAATCCTGCATCAGTGCAAATCTGTTCATCGAGTAGGAAAGGTTAACAAAAAATCACATTTGCCACCACTTCAGAAAAAGTCCTACGTTTTTCTGAAATATTATGGCTCTAATAACATATAATTTTAATAGGTATGAAATCTTGTGGATAGTGTTACTGATCTACGCATTTTAGAATCCCTATATATATTCAAGCAGAAGCCTAGTCTAAATGCCGCTTTTAGCTCCGTTCCTCTTGAAATAGTATCTTTCATTTTTTTCGAAAAATTCACACGAACAAAAATGTCTTAGAATTCTGTTTTGCATATGTGTACCAAGTTTCAGAGTGATCCGTCTGTGAATAGTCGAGATAAATTTTACCCTAGACGCTCCCCTTAACAACTGTTATGGCTGAGAAAAAACTAATATGATTGACTCTACTTTGAGGGTTTAATACCGTATCCATGATACTTTACTCAGTTTACTGGTCTACTTATTAACTTATAGGACTCAAAAATGAACTTGAGGGAGTCTAAAAATTCTCTGCTCTGTCACTATGTAGGAATAAGACATATATAAACACTGGGCCAACTATGGACATGTCTTTATGGAGCCATAAAAAAAGGTGAAATTGGCCAGATCCACAGACATTTTAGTCTGATAGACGGGTGGCCGGTGGATTCTGTCAATTTTTCTAGGCCATACTCCTTAGCGGCTTAGCCTAGGTAGGTTAGGGTTAGTTAGGATACATAAACTAGGCCTATATTAGTTTATGGCTTAAAATTATCCAATTTCTTAGACTGGTAGATACTATGTGATTTATGAATTGGCAAATTTATGGCTTAGATTAATTTCTAACCTAATTTTGCTTCTACCTAGGTACATTATTTTAGATTTTTAGATTTTAGTTATGTGCCTTTTAGCTTTTGATTACTGTGTAATCAAAGCTATCTGCGACTGCATTACTGTGTGAGCTATCTGCAGACTGCAGTATCTGGCACCTTCTTAATTCAAGCCTATTTCAAACTCCATTCTCCAACAGACCAACACTAACAGGGGTATTATTGCAGATTAACTACATCCAAAAAAAGGGTGTTTTTTTTTTAATTATATGTTTTTTGGGGTGTAGATTACGAATCTGAAATCCATTTTTGGCGGTCGGCATCGGAAAACCGATTTTTTTCCGACCCAAAAATCGCGCTAAAAATGCCTAACCCGTTGCACTGCAACGGGTAAAGAAGACGAAAATGTTACCCGTTGCACTGC